AGAAAAATACACAGCAGCATGTTCTTGCTGGCAGGAGAAAGACCTGTGTTGTTTACGCACAGATCTCTCCCCTGTCAGCTTTCCCCGATGATCACCGGGTGCTGACGGGGAATCTCTAGCCAGGACCCGATGATTGACATCCGTAGCCGCCAATAGCGGCACGGGTGGGGCGGCACATTATTATTATTATACAGTATTTATAAAGCGCCAATAGTTTGCTCAGCGCTGTACATTACAAAAGGGCACAGAACATGTGACAGAACAATACCAATACAATGCAAAACATGAGGGGATTGAGGGCCATGCTCCTTGGAGCTTACAATCTAGGAGGGAGGGGATGGTGGCACAGGAGGAGATAGCTGTGGGGGATGGGGTGGTAGGAAGAGTGGAGGAGGTCGGCAAGTTAGCAGGGGGTGGGGTAGGCTTCCCTGAAGAGATGGGTTTTCAGGGTGCACCTAAAAGAGAGGAGAGTAGGTGATAATCTGATGGGTTGGGGCAGGGAGTTCCAGAGGATGGGTGACACCCTGGAGAAGTCCTGGAGGCGGGCATGGGAGGAGGTGACCAGGGAACAAGAGAGAAGGAGGTCTTGTGAGGAGTGGAGTGTGCCTGTTGGGCGGTACTTGGATATTAGGTCAGTGATGTAGTTCGGGGCAGTATGGTGGACGGCTTTGTACATCAGTGTTAGGATTTTGAATTTGATCCGTTGCGCCGTTGCGCAATCGGAAGCTAGTGGAGGGATTGGTCAGTGGGTCAGGGATTGGCAGAGGGGGGTGGCGGAGACAGAGCGGTTGGAAAGGTGAATGAGTCTGGCAGCCGTATTCAGGATCGACTGAAGCGGGGATAGCCTGTGGCGAGGCAGGCCAGTGAGGAGGGAGTTGCAGTAGTCGAGTCGTGATATGATGAGGGAGTGGATGAGCTGTTTAGTGGTTTCTGGGGTTAGGAACGTGCAGATTTTGGCGATGTTGCGGAGGTGGAGTCTGTGCGAGTTTGTTAAAGATTGGACTTGGGGCTGGAAGGATAGGTTGGAGTCCAGAATGACACCAAGTACTCTGGCTGCGGGGCGGGTTTGATGGTGGCGTTGTTGGATGTGATGAAGAAGTCAATGGGGGGTGGTGTCCGGGCTGGGGGGAAGACAAGAAACTTGGTTTTGGAGAGATTCAGTTTAAGGAAGTGGAGCGACATCCAGTCTGATATGTCGCTCAGTAGGTGTGTGATTCGGGAAAATCGTGTTATATATATATATATATATATATATATATATATATATATGTGATTTTGCACAGCCCTGCCACCCTGTAGCAGTATTTCTGCTATAGGGTAACAGTAAAATGATTAATCTCTTCTTATATTGTATACATTTTTTATTATTTCTCCTCTGATGTACATCTATATACTGTACGTATGGATAATGTTATATGCTGGTTGTAGTAGTTCCTCTGCTTCCAATTGCTTTGATTAAATTCTGGTTAATTGCCGTGGAAAAAAATCCCATCTGTTCACAGTGACCCTGTCCTGGGTGGAGGGAGTGCCAAGTATAATATCAGACCCATTCTTCCACCTAGTGAAGGTTCTGGTTCTCTTATTTACCTACAAGTTTAATATCCTGTTTGGGGAGGGCCATGTCTCATAACCCCCATCAAAAGAGGGTTAGACATGATAATACTATTACTCAATGTTTATCAGATCTGTCAAGTATTAACAGAATTCCCTAATAAATAAAATAGGAGAGCTGCTGAACCCACGCTATAGATACAGTTCAGCACTGTGGAGTCTAATTGTACTGCTCAATCAGAGGGTCATAAGCCAAGATTCATACAATCTACAGATATTGACATTGTTAAAGGTAAGAACATTTAAATAGTTCTGGTCTAGAGTTCGCTAAAGATTCGTGAATCTGCTGGGGTTTGAGTTGTGGGTTCATTAAAATAGAATTCCAGCCTATCACTAACTAGTCCTAAAAATGCTCCCTCCCCACTCCTGCTACCTATACTGCCTAACCTGTGTACAAAATGTGCGTGCTTACCTATTTTTTGTTTGCTCTGGTAATGTAACCCCCTGTGCTAGTAAGCAGTGGCTGCAGAGGAAGAAGGAGCACTTGACGACGGCTGGGAATTCCAGAAGCAGCGGTGTCACCAATTGATTCCCATAGCCAAGCTGTTGTTGGTGCTCCTGCTTTCACCTGCAGCTGCTGCTGACTGACACAGAGGAGTTGGAACTGGTTACGCCAGGTGTGTCAAACTGGCGGCCCTCCAGGTGTTGCCAAAACTACAAGTCCCATCATGCCTCTGCCTTTGGGAGTCATGCTTGTAACTGTCAATCTTGCAATGCCTCATGGGACTTGTAGTTTGGCAACAGCTGGAGGGCCACCAGTTTGACACCTCTGGGTTAAGCAGTATAGTTAGCAAGAAGTGTGTGTGTGGGGTGTTGGGGGGCATTTTTAGTCCTCATGCACACTGGACATTTTTACAGCTGCTTTTTTTTACTTTTGAAGTTTTTTTCTACAGCCAGTAACCCCCCCAGCATGGTATCCTATGTGACCATGCACACATAGACTGTAATCAATGTTTTTTGGCAGGGGCATTTTTTTGGCTGGAAAAAAAAACAGGATTAGTAGGTTTGTGGAGGAGGTTTTCAGCTGTAAAATTGCTCTAATGCTGAAAAAAACGTGGTAAAACGCAGCAAAATGGCGTTTTGGGCTTTTTTTGAGCAACTTTTTTTATGCTAAAAAATGTTTAAAAACCGCAAATGCAGAAAAACGTGGCTAAAAACGCTAATGCAAAAACAGTGAAAAATAGCATTTTTAATGCGACTTTACACAGCGAATGCTACTGGCATTATTAAAACGCACCGTGTGCATGGAGCCTAATACTTATGTCTCCTTGTTCCAGCAGGCTCCAATCCATGCGACTGACTTTCTGCAGCCTCCTGTGTAAGCTGAGCCTGGCCATGGTCGCACTCCTGTCTCCACCATGTCCAATACAGAGTTAGTAGCTCTGCACTGTACATGATGATGCGATCCCTTGTTTGCAATTTTTTTATGTGCCCAGAGTTGAGCTTTAAATTCAGTAGTGGTTGCAGACAGGGGAGGACTGACAACTCATGGGGCCCCCAGGCAATAGGGGATCATGGGGCCTCTGTGTCTTTGCCCACACTCAAAGCACACCCAAAAAAGCCTATAAAAGGTACCAGCGGCATTTCATGGGGCCCCCTAGTGACCCCGTGCCCTCGGGCAGTGCCCGAGTGTTCAAATGGTCAGTCCGCCCCTGGCTGCAGACCTTTTAGCCCTGGTTCACACTGATGTAGTGCGGAATTTGCAGCATTTTTAGTGTGACTTCTGCACCGCATCAGAATCGCACCCTGTTCATGCGAACAGCTGCTGGTGTGTATGTTATATTAACAACACCCCAAAAGCGGTCCGCAAAACGCGGTGCGATGTGCAGAATCGGATCGCATGGGTGTGAATACCTATGCGATCCGATTCTAGTGCGGACCCAAAAAAGGGTCCTGCACATTTTTGGTGTGAGTGCAGTGCGATTAGAGCCATAAAAAATATATGGCTCTAATCGCACCACACACAAATCACATGTGATTTGCACAGGAATGCGGTGCGGTTCCTGTGCGAATCACATGTGATGTACCACACCGCACATACGTGAACCCAGACTCAGTGGGACTCAGATGTCAGGAATGTATTAAAAATGAGATAGCAAAGGGTGTAATGACAATAGGGGGAGAATATAAATAGACTCACACTCATACAGTATGGTATATATAAAATGTTTCACCAGTTTAATTTTCAGAGGTTGTGGTCAATGTTGCCATGAGCCAATGTTATGCAATACAAGGAATATCCAGGTATTTCAATATCTACTTAGTTCCCCTATTGAGTGCCTCTGTAACCCTGAACCTCTAGTCGACCTAGCAAGCACATGATGACCAGATCCCATGATTGAGAGCATGACTTGTAGGTCACATGGAGCAGAGCCAGGCACTGATAGCAATGACAAAGAATAAAGCTGAACTCTAGGTAAATGGGTAATTATATACAGTACACTGTGGGGATTGTTTTACATGTCATATTAAATTTAAAAAAAAAAAAATTTTAATAGAAAAATTGAATTACAAAAAAAAAGAATAATGCCTCCAGTGTTTGTGTTGTCTACTTGAAGGGATTTGCTCTGGTAAGCCTCTTAGAGGTTCACCAGGAGATAGCAAAAAGGGAAAAATGTAGGGATTAAAAAAAGAAAGGCTTGATTGTGTACAGAATGTAGAATCAGCACCTAAGGGGGAGCAGCAGTCATTGACTCATTGATACATCTAGAGCAGCCTTTCTCAACCAGGGTGCCCACCCTGGGGTGTCTTGAGGTTTCTTCAGGGGTGCCTTGGTAAAACATCTAAAAATTGCCTAAAACCTGTATACAAGTCATCAAGTGGAACAAGCCAGTCTTTTAGTTACACAAAGCCACAGGTTTTCATTCTGCACCATTACGACCTTCTAGCCGACGGCATCCTAACAACCTGACAACCAATGACATCATCAGTTGATAAGGAGGATGTCAGCTGCCTGCACAGCATCCTAGTTTGACCCTCCCCTGCCGCTCTCCATCAGTGCTGGGGTCACATCAGCTCGGTGATGGAGAAAAACCGAGGGAGAAGAGAAACATTGGAATACTAGTCAGTACCAGTGTGCTAAGGTGTGTTTGCTTTGGAAGAAATCACGTCTAATGCTGTGTGTCCTACATGTGTGGATGTTGCTGCATTGTATGAAACTATTGGAATAGTTTTTCACATTTTAGAATGGGGTGCCTCAAGACTGTCCATAATTTTAAGGGTGCCTTGACTGAAAAAATGTTGATAAACACTGATCTAGATGACCTACACTTGTTTGCTATTGATTGTTTTGCTGTTTTGGTCTTTATATTGTATATGTGTCAGGTGACAATATGGATTGGTATGCAACACTTCTCCTCACCACCACCTTCTGTGTGCTATGTATTATAATGAGCTTCCTGAGGATTTTAAAGGAGAGATCATCACTTCCTCCAGGACCCATGCCCTTACCGTTCATTGGGAATCTTCTGCAGATCGACACAAAAGACATTAGTGCCTCGCTTTTGAAGGTGAGCAAGCCTGGAGCGACCTTATTCATGTATATTGCTCATATTCTGCACATATTAAAATTTATATTCGTTTTTGGTTTGAGTGGTTAAGGGTTAAACCTTTGTTTTATTACTGTGTGTACTGTGTGTGCTGCTATTGTGTAAGTATTACTCCTCTCCCACTCACTGGTGTATTTAGGTTTTGGGCTGCTGTAGGCAACATAAAAATCCCTCCCCGGCAGAGAGAGCCTGACACCAACCAACACCAAATCCCCCCCCCCCCCCGCGGAGAGAGCCCCCGACCAACCAACACCAAACACCCTCCTCCCCCCGGGGAGAGACCCTGAAAGTGACCAACAACACCCAACACCCCCCCCACACACACCCGAGACAGCCTTCCACTGACACCCTCCACCCTACCCTCCAAGGTGACAGAGAGAGAGACACTCACCTTCACAGCTCTGGACATCCCCGGGAACGACAATCGGGCTGTGCATACACCATCAAGCAGCTCGCAGCTAATATCGGATCTTACCTGGTCCCCATGCCGCATATGTCCCTTCTTCCAGGGGGAAGTGCTGCCCCCCTAAAAAATGCCACCCTAGGCATATGCCTTGTGGTAAATACACCCCTGCTCCCATTGACACCATGTCACACCTTGACAAGTGGGGAGTTATGGAGATGGTAAACGTATCCACTGAAATGAGGACAGTAATGAAAAATGAACCTTGGAATCAGGGGCAGACTGACCATTCGAGCACTCGGGCCCTGCCCAAGGGCCCGGGGTTAGTAGGGGGCCCCATGAGATTTCCCTGGTACCTTTAATTGACTTTTTCATAGGCTTTTTTGGGTGTGGGCAATGTCACAGGGGCCCCATGATCCCCTATTGCCCGGGGGCCCCATGAGTTGTCGATCCGCCCCTGCTTGGAACTAAGTTAACAGTGGTGGATGCAGTGTGTGTGTGTGATAACTCTGGTAACATTAGCTATGTGAAGTCAAGTTGTTCAGCTTTTTCTAGCATTTTTGTGTTAGCGTTTTGCAGTGTTTTCCCTCTTTTTCTGCTTTTGTGTTTTTTTTTTGGTTTTTTTTTTACAAAAAAAAAATTTTTTATGACAAAAAAGCATCCAAACATGCCAGTTTGTAGTGTTTTACCATGTTTTTCAGCGTTTTCCAGCATTAGAGCGTTTTTACAGCTAAAAAACACCTATAGAAACCCATTTATTCCTGGGGTTTTTTTGCAGCCAAAAACCACCACTGCCAAAAAATGTTGATTCCAGTCTAAGTGTGCACGGACACATAGGATAACATGTTGGGGGGTTTACTGGCTGTAGAAAAAAACATCAAAAGCGAAAAGCAGCTGCTGTAAAAATGTCCAGTGTGCATGAGGACTAAAGAAAAAGGTGCTTGTAAGATATGTTCCTAACCCATGGATCAGGTGTTCTGCATGGTCATAAATTTTATAAGGCTTGGTTCACATGTATGCGGGTGATGCTGCTGCAGATCCGCACAAAAATCCGTGCAGCCGCACCACCTGGACAGAAGAATGCGGACCTGCGGGCGGGTGCCATTAATTCTAATGGCATGCCGCCTGCACTTGAAATTGCAACTGCACTTGGAACCGAGGTTCCCGTGAGGGCTACGGTTTCCAAAGAAGTGCAGGGACTTCTTCCCTGAGTGTCCTGGAGCACGGGAGTCCATTCAAATGAATGAGTTCTCATGCCTGCGCAAAATGCAGGCCTGCAGGAACGTGGATATGTGAACAAAGGGTAACAGCATATGATGCCAATTTGCAGATTCTAGAGCAAGCAAAATACTTTCTTTTAGCCTGGGTTCACACATATGCGGTACAGGGGCGGACTGACAGCTCATGGGGCCCCCAGGCAATAGGGGATCATGGGGCCCCTGTGTCCTCACCCGCACTCAAACCACACCCAAAAAAGCCTATGAAAGGTACCAGGGGCATCTCATGGGGCCCTCTACTGACCCCGGGCCCTCGGGCAGTGCCCAAGTTCCCGAATGGTCAGTCCGCCCCTGATGCGGTACAATATACAGTAGTGTATATCGCATGTGATTTGCACAGGAACTGCACTGCATTCCTGTGCAAATCACATGAGATTTGTGTGCGGTTTGATCTCAGCCATACATTTTGTATGGCTGTAATCGCAATGCACCCAAACTATAAAGATGCAGGACCCTTTTTCGGTCCGCACTAGAATCAGATTGCATGGATATTCACACCTATGCGATCCGATTCTGTACATCGCACTGCATTTTGCGGACAGATGTCGGGGTTTTGTTAACTTAACATACACACCCACAGCGGTTCTCATGAACGGGGTGCGATTGTGAAGCGGTGCAGAATTCGCACAGAAAACGCTGCAAATTCTGCACCACATCAGTGTGAACCGGGGCTGAATGTAGCACTCACTCCTGAATTTGCTTCTGAACTTTGCAGATTCTCCTAGACCAAGGATTCTCAAGCAGGGTTCCTCCAGGGGTCCCTAGGGGTTCCTTGTGCAATGAGCAATTTCTGCCTCTCAGTTAATTTCTCACTGACACCACTGATCTTTTTAGCTCTCTGTAAGGTGCTACGTCTTCTCAATGACCATTGGTGTAAGGAGCATGCAGGCAGACTAAAGCGTGGCTATTTGATAGAGGGGATCACACTGCGTGTTATTGAAAAACAAAGTAGCTTTAATTGCTGGATAGGCGGCCATGGAAAATACTATTTACAAAAGTGCTGATAAATTGTTTTCTGATAGGCTTATAAAGCACAGGTACACAGTACATTCACAGAAATATATAGATTTCAGCTTAATTCTGCTGGCACTGCGATGTCCTCGCTACAAGCACAGATGTGTTATAAACAGCACATAATGATTACTTGCCTGAGGCTAGTGTCTATAAGCAGGCTTCCCCAAAATGGCTGCTGGAGAGAAAGACAGAGGACAGCTAATCCTCTACAGGTTACCACAGAACAGCAAGAACCATAAACAACATAAAGTTTACTTGCCTGAGGCTGGAGTCCATAAGCAGGGGGCACAAATTCAGCTGTCTTGGTATAGCAGGGAGATGTACCGACTCTGAAAGTCTTTCTTCTCAAACGCACCAACAGTGATGATAGAAGGGACTCCAGAAGATCCCTGTTTTGTCCCTGAGACTGTAACACTCTCCCTAAGTAAAGCCTAGAAAGGAGAGCCAACACAAAATGGCCGCTCAAATCTCAAGAGAGTTTGTGCCCAAACAGAGCACAAGGCTTCCCCAAAATGGCTGCTGGAGAGAAATACAGAGGACAGCTAAATCTACAGGTTACCACAGAACAGCAAGAACCATAAACAACATAAAGTTTACTTGCCTGAGGCTGGTGTCTATAAGCAGGGGGCACAAATTCAGCTGTCTTGGTATAGCAGGGAGATATACCGACTCTGAAAGTCTTTCTTCTCAAACGCAGCAACAGTAATGATAGGCAGGACTCCAGAGGCGTTATTATAGAATGCCGCAACAGCACAACCATCCGGATGGTTTAATCTTAATTGTGTTTTATTAGGTAGAAATGTAGTATATTTCACAAACTGGAAGATGTCATTATCTTTTTTATACTATTTCCAAAAAAGATTAGTTACATTGTTGTATATAAGTTACTCTGCTTGGGTGATTAATTACCTGCTTTAGCAGTCTGTACCTGTTACAGCTGCTTTCCTTTTTTTGATTTAGGACTCCAGAGGATCCCTGTTCTGTCCCTGAGACTTTAACACTCTCCCTAAGTAAAGACTAGCTTGCCCTGGCAAATCCCTCGGTATCTCTCCCTTTCTATATACACACAAGAGCTCCCCTAAATCGTGGCTGGGCTCCGTTTATATAGGAGAGCCAACACAACATGGCCGCTAAAATCTCAAGAGAGTTTGTGCCCAAACAGAGCACAAGGCTTCCCCAAAATGGCTGCTGGAGAGAAATACAGAGGACAGCTAATCCTCTACAGGTTACCACAGAACAGCAAGAACCATAAACAACATAAAGTTTACTTGCCTGAGGCTGGAGTCCATAAGCAGGGGGCACAAATTCAGCTGTCTTGGTATAGCAGGGAGATATACCAACTCTGGTAGTCTTTCTTCTCAAACGCACCAACAGTGATAACAGAAGGGACTCCAGAAGATCTCTGTTTTGTCCCTGAGACTGTAACACCCTCCCTAAGTAAAACCTAGAAAGGCCTCTGTATCTATCCCTTTCTATATACACACAAGAGCTCCTCCAAATGGTGGCTTGGCTCCGTTAGGAGAGCCAACACAAAATAGCTGCTCAAATCTCTATAGAGTTTGTGCCCAATTAAAGCACAAGGCTTCAACCAAAGTGGATGCTAGAGAGTAATACAGAGGACAGCTAATCCTCTACAGGTTACCATAGAACAGCAAGAACTACATACAACTATTTGCATAAAACACAACATTCCTGCATGAAAAAATGAATATGATACAATTACTGTCCCACTTCTTCGCACAGCCAGGAAGGTTATTGCTGACACTTTTAACTGCATGTGAGGGGACTGCCTACAAGCATTCTTCCCACTGACCATCACATTAATGTATCAGAAGTTGTAGATATAGAACTTGTTATCAGGCTTTCAGATCGGAAAGTTATTTTAAGGTTTCCTTAACAGATAGATTTGTTTTTACTAGTGATTTGCCCTGTAACTGCACCCCAACATTCCCCAACCCACTAGCAGAGATTGAATATTTTTTTTTTATTTGCTCAAACCTCTAGAGAACCTCTAGAGAATAGAAAGTTAGTGGTACATACATGGTTCCTCTGTAACAGGCCAAGGTTAAACTCTTTTGCCTCTGCCATGGGCTAGTGTAGAGTAGGTAGGCCAGACAGACAGCTGCCTTCAAGTGTCTTCAACCCCTCTTACATACTTTTTATAGACTATTAAGACCACCATGTTGACTAAGTGGAACTTTCCTTTAGCTTCAGCTTGCTTACCCTGGGAGCCTTAACAAAGTTCTGCTGGAGATATATGCTCCCCAGGCAGCAGGCCTCAAAAGATAGGACACTCTTCTCACACCCTCCCAGGCAGTAGTCCATGGAGGCCAAGACAATTATTCCTCAAACTACATTCTCCCCAGGAAAAGCCTGGATGACAAATTGCTGGGATTCCTCATACATACATACATATTTCCGATGTGTAAACAGCAGCTACTGTGCAGAAAGCAGCTGCTGTGTTGAAAGCAGCTACTCTGTTGAAAGCAGCTACTGTGTAGAAAGCAGCTACTGTGTAGAAAGCAGCTACTGTGCAGAAAGCAGCTACTGTGCAGAAAGCAGCTGCTGTGTTGAAAGCAGCTACTGTGTAGAAAGCAGCTACTGTGTAGAAAGCAGCTACTGTGTTGAAAGCAGCAGTATTTGAGGTAAAACGACACTTCATGAATTATAATTACTGGGTAAATAATTTTATGGTTGGGGGTCACCACAACATGAGGAACTGTATTAAAGGATCGCGGGTTAGGAAGGTTGAGAACCAATGCCGTACAGGCAAAGCCTGAGAGGGAAGAACTATTTTATTTTTTTCATTAATTATTTTTACTTATTACAGGTACTTATATTTTAGAAGGTTTCCCAAAATATGTATTTTCTTCCTTCGTATTCCTTGGAAAAAACTTCAGTGATTGGCCAAGGTAGAATAAATATTCATAACCCTCTAAATTATTTCTTCTCACTTTAACTACACTCCTCAGAAACTGGCAGAAGCACACAACTTTTGGGCTTAGGAGAAACCCAACAGACCTTGATAACAATAACAAACAATTCTCAGCTACAAACACTACATTTAGACTAGGGAAATTCCAGCTTGTAATTTTTAGATTCAAGAGAGGGAGACAAAGAGACTGATCTCCTAAGGATTCGAGAATGTTTACACAATTGTGTGAATATTTATTTCAATTATCCAGTTAGGTGGAGATGAAACAAGTATACTGGGACTTTATTTTACAAGTGTAACACCCCCCATAGTTACGTTACTAGTAGGATTAAGGTAAATTTATTTGTTTGGCTCCTTTGTAGCCAGTGGAGCAAGGTTTGATTACTTTTCACTGTTCTAAGTCTTGCTGGCTGCAGGATCAACTTCTTCCTCCTGCCTTCTGGTGGGTTTCCAGAATGTAGTGGGCTGGAAGGGACAGACCCTGGACTTGAATATTTATCCTCAGCCAATCCCCAGGATATAGAGAATGGCTTGTAGGGAGCTGAAGGGTATTTATATAGTCTGGGCCTGGAACAGCTGGGTTCTTGTCCTAGAGAAGAAGACCCAGCCTGAAGGGCTGCAGCCCTTCTGTGCTGATTAGATGAAGTTTGTTTCAGTAAGGTCCCAGCTCAGAGAAAGCAGGGGGGCCTGCTTTATCAAAGGAGTTCATCAAGGTCCCTGCTCATGGAGAGCTTGGGGAGCTATCTCTAAAGTTGCTGAGGTCAGTTTGGAGAGAGTCCACTGAGGATCTGGCATGAAGGGTCACAGTACATGGGTCTGGTTGGTATTGGAAGGAGGCATCAAAGTACACAGGGACGTAGTGAGTAAAGGCCTGAGAAAGAGATCCTAGTCATTGCCGCTGTTTAACTCTTTGAGCGACTGTTCCAGAGTTGCTGATTTAGGACTGCTACTGCAATTGGAGTCCCCTAAGCTGTTCCAGAGTTGCTGATTTAGGACTGCTACTGCAATTGGAGTCCCCTAAGCTGTTCCAGAGTTGCTGATTTAGGACTGCTACTGCAACTGGAGTCCCCTAAGCTGTATGTCCATTACTGCTGATCCAAAAAGGGGGCCCACCCTGAAGAGTCTAGTTATAACCAGTGACCTCTGCTATCATTTGCACTAAATTTAGAGCATCCAAAAAGTTCACCCTATACCCCAACCAAGTTCAATTACATTAAACTTCAAAAAGACATTCACTGCCAGGTTATTGTGTTGTAAGACTGTGGAGCTGCTTTGTGCCTGGCTGCCGTGCACCTTATAGAGCAGGGTTGGGCAACTGCAACCCTCCAGCTGTCATGGAACTACATGTCCCATGAAGTATTGAAAGGCTGACAGTTGCATCATGACTCGCAGAGGCATGATGGGACTTGTAGTTCTACAATAGCTGGAGGGCCACAGTTTGCCCACCCTTGCTATAGGAAATAGAAACTGGGACAAAACTGCAAGACTGGTTTAGATCTGTGCTACACAAGATTGAATATTTGAAGTGAATCTGCACACACATTCTAATCTCATAATCTTGCACTTAAAAAAGCATTATTAGGACCTCTTTTTGAATGTGCAGTTCAATGTTGGGCACCAGTTCATTAGAAGAGTAGTATTCAAAGAGAAAAAAGGCAACTTGATTAATAAGAAGCATGGATGACCTGAGCAATGTGGAAATGATAACTAGGGTAGATTTATTCTCTCTTAAGAATAGGTGATCAAGGGGGGATATGATCACCTTTATAAATTCGTAAACAGTCCAAACTGTTCAACTGCACTCTTTGTCAAGTTGTTCAATTGCATTTCTTTCCATTGAAAATAAATATAACCCTGTATAAGGAAAGGCGAATTGGTCCTAACCAGCCCTGCAGATTTCTTTAAAAAGTGTGTGTGTTTCTAAATGCACAAACTATAACTGGCTATGAATGTTTATAAGAAATAACACATAGACTGTTGATCTGGGGATCCTGTTTCCTGTTGGAGCAAATTGGCAACACCTTATGAAGACTTTTGCCTTTCTCTGGATGAATTGCAGGTTTAGGGTTCTAATGATGCAAGTTTCAAATGTACCGGTATTTATTTATTGTCTTTTTTAACCTATGTAAGGGAGACTTCATTTCACTTTTCCACAGCTAAAAGACAAGTATGGACCAGTCTACAGTCTGTACCTGGGACCTAAACCTGGAATTGTCCTATGTGGATATGATGCTGTGAAGGAGGCCTTAATTGATCAAGATGAAGTATTTGGAGAGAGAGGGGACTATCCTGTGTTCTTGAACTTTATAGGTGAACATGGTGAGACCCAGTTGCATTTTACTTAAATTAGCTACTGAAAGGTTGGATCCTGACTCCAACCAATATTTATGTAACACTACCCTCTTAGGAGTAGCAAAGATTTCGGGTCCCCCTATAGTCCTGCACAGCCAGGCAACACACATCTTCACACAAGCTTTCATCTAGGAAACAGAAATCAGTGTTTGTTTTTGTGATTTTTTTTTTGGGGGGGGGGGGGGGGATTTGAACTGGGATAGGGTTAGGAGTGTACAGGATGCCCAAGGGAACTAATGAACTGAGGACAACTTCCTGGAACTATTTACAAGCCTCCACACATTGTACAGTCTCTGTTAGAGAGCAATTCAGCATCTCCTAATGTACTTCCCCAGACCCTAGATGAACGCCTCTTCTTTCACCCAGCAATCTGGAGGTATCCCTGAGCAGGGGATATAATGCCTGTTGCTTTAAGAAATGGACAGTCCCAGGTAGATGGTGTATCTGGTACCCCACAAGAGTGCTCCTTCTCCTATCCACTCATGGTTGCAAGGGTACTCACTCAGATTCTTTCCTGTACCATTGATGGGTTAGTGGATGCTTCCAGGCCTTTTAGCTGGGCCACTCCTTCATTGCTGTACAAATGGTCCTCGCACTGTGGTCCAGTCAAGTCCTGAGTTTTTCTTCCTTCCATTGCTCCCAGCCTGCAGATAGGCTCCATCCCACTGGGCCCCCTCACAGTCTTCTACATCCTCCTCTCACTCCATCTTCCACTCAATCTCTCCTCAACTCCCCGTCTACCAGCTGAGCATGTTCAGTTACTCCTGAAGGTTGTCCCGGCCCCTTTCAAAACCTCTTGTGGGGGATTTGCCAGGATTCTCCAAGAGTACAGAACACCCACTCCTCAGATCTGCCCACTGCTTCTAGATCTTTCTCTAAAAATCTGGAGAAGGGGGAAATTCCAGAAAGCTGTTCTGCAGAGTCTCTCAACTGAAATTTGACCCATCTGGCTATCACACCCAGGCTGCTACTTAGCCTGTAGCTACCAATTAGATTCTAGCTCCCCCTAGCTAACTACGAGGGCGATACATTTGTATTGGTTTTGGACAGAAAGAGTAGGACCTCAGGAAGTGAGGGAAATTTTCCAATGGGGTTGCATATAGCAAAAAAAGTAACAGGTTCTAACACTCCACCATTGTACTTAAAGTGCATTTTGGTAGCTATGTCATCATCGAGGTTATTTCGCTCACTTCCTGTCTCAATGACTACAAAGGGGAAAAGGGAAACATCCTTAAAACTGAATATCAGGAATGATCTTTATTGGATACTGACATTGGTCCAACCTGGCACAATGTAAGTATGTATATCTCATACCTAATGGACCCCTGGGGAAGCTGACAGTCACTGTAGTAGTTGGCACTAGAAGTGGAGTTTGTGGCATCACTGCCTCTCCTCTCCACTTCATCCATTTAGAGAACACCTTGTATTCATTAAGAAAAATGCAAGGCATTCTATGAATGGTGGTGGTGCTGAGCACTGTGGTCAGTGTGCAGAGGGGAATCGCCTCTCACAGAACCCCAAAAGGTCCCAGAAAATCTCGCTGTAGTAGCAATGATTGTCAGCTTCCTCAGTGGTCCATAAAGTATAAGATACAGTATACTGTACATACTTCCTTTGTGCAAGCTGGGGCAATGTAAGTATGTAATAAAGATCATACTCTTCCCTATTCTATCCAAAATCAACAGAAATGTATTTTCTAGAATTAGAAATATATTAACAGAGAACACCCAAAGGGTTTCTTCATCAGTTACAGCTCAAGTAATGGACCAAAGCTAGACCAATGTAAGTATGCAATAAAGATCATACTCTTCCCCATTCTATCCAAAATCAACAAAAATGTATTTTCTAGAATTAGAAATATATTAACAGAGAACACCCAAAGGGTTTCTTCATCAGCTATAGCTCAAGTAATTAGTCTTTCTATACACTATCAGCTTGTAATACAAGCTTGTAGTTCTTTGGAGTCATTTTGATTTTTTTTATGCAACAAAACACAACATACATTCTAAATTGAAAAAAAGATGAGACTGTGTCAGGGTAATAAATACCAAATATATCATCCATTTTACAAAATAGTATAGCACTGCAATACCCAAAATCTTACATAGGTTGCACATTTATATTCTTTACAGATCATTAGTTTAGACTAAAAATATAATGGCTCCCAAAGTTTTATTTCTAGCATCTATGGAGATACCTAGGGGTCTATTAAAACAAGTGTGATAAGAATGTATCAGCTTTCAGACAAAAGTCATAAATAACACCCTTTCGAACATTTTTAATATGTGCGAAATGGTAATTTCTGATAAAGTGGTTACAAAAGCTGAAGGTTTTTACCTTAACCTCCCTAGCGGTCTGATTATGTCAGTATTTCTGTGCTCAAAGAGGTACTTTTTTTCCATGGAAATATGTTGTTTTTTCATTGGAGGCCTGTAATTCTTAGGAATAACTCACTGAAATCTGTCCGAACAAGAGTTTAGTAAACATTCTGGGTAGGATAAAACTTGAAACACGAAATCATAATATAATAAATAATCATAAAAAATAATAATATAATAGGAAATGTAATTCAATAATAGAAATCAAACCAAAAACACTGACATTTGAAATATAGCGCCAAGTTCGCACATCACTGATCTTAGTCGCAGAATCGTTTTCAGTGTCTGATAACAAATTTCCCCACGAATCATTATCACTCAATTCTGCAAGTAGTTTGAGTTGATTGTAGCCAGATTAGTGCATTTGCGACAGAAACAATTGAGTACTGTCCGTGATACTTTTTTTATTTGCACTAACATACAATTTTGAGGACAAGCTTTCGGGGAATGTCCCCTTCTTCAAGGTCTAAGCAGTACTCAAGTAGTTCTAATTTACTATCGCTGTTCTCTAGCTGATCTAAAACCGCTTTTGACCTAAAGGGACGCTTTTTGGACGCCATGGACGTTTCTCAGTTTCAAGGCAGAAAGAACAGTAAAAATGCAGGCAGGGCGCAGGACAAAGCACTCGGGACAAAATGTATGTGAAATGGTTTGATACAGTAATGTTTTATTGTGTGATATTAGTGTATTAAGTGAAGTCACTTTTTAACATTTTTAAATTTCCCGCCGGTTCCGTTCCACGTGCATCCCGACGCTAGCTGGGATTGGAACCGGAAGACAGATGCCGGCATCGGCCGGAGGAGATGGCCGTGGACGCTGCAGGGAGGACATCGCAGGAGCGCAGGACAAGGTAAGTGCTGCAGGGATCCCAGAGCACCGCTGTAGGGTATTCCCGAGTGTAACTCGGGGTTACCGCTTTTGGTACTGAAAGTTTACCCCAAGCTACACTCGGGAATTCCGCCAGGGAGGTTAAGCATTCTTTTCATTAAGGTAAAAATCCTTCTGAGTGTAGCTCCCCCTCAGACCTCTCTTACCTATACTTACCTGAGGCTAATCTCAATCCAGCATTGTGCACAAGAGCAGCGGCTCTCTCAGCTCTCTCCCTCCTCATTGGATCCCACTGCTGTCAATCACAAGCAGTGAGGAGGGAGCGGAGGACGGGGCCGAACCTGCACAAGCACCCTCATAGCAACTACGAGGGCAGTCGGCGGGAGGAGCCTGGAGCCCTGGTGGGGGTCCCCAGAACATGAGGATCAGGGCTGCTCTGTGCAAAACAATTGCATAGGTAAGTATAACATGTTTGTTATCGTTTTTTTTTTTCTTTTTTAAACAACTGAAACTTTACAATCACTTTAAATAGGATCTTTAATAAAAAATGTAAAGTCATCAGCTATGAATATGAATAATAAAAACACTTACCAGCCCAGGGATCCAGCGCTGTCTTCACTCGGGACAGTTCTTTCCCAGTCTGTGGGTACCTGGCACTTCTATCTTGCCAATTGTGTTTCACAGCCAGCTCCCCACTGTGCATGCGTGAGATTGTGCTCCCCACTGTGCTTTCCCAATGGTCCCACAGTCTCGTAGGACCTACACAGTGTCCCAGGAGGTTGCAGGCCTGGAAGGGGAGAAGTAGTAGGGGGTACCTGTCAGAAATAGGTACCCATGAAAAATAAAAAAACTACCAATACATGCAGAGGAGAAAGGGGAGGAAAAGGATCAGCGGCAGTTCATTTTTCAAGGTGAAGTTCTGCTTTAAGTTTTCTTTCGCTGGTGAGTGTAACATTCTCTAATACCCTAAGAACATTCAATCCTAAGAAAAAAATAACCTAAGAACATTCGACCAGAAGAGAAAATGCCCTACAAACATGTGATGCTAAGAAAAAATAGCTTAATACCAACCACTCAGAAAAGAAATTATCCTTAAGTGGTGTAATATCATTACGTGGTATAAGGCTTCTTACACACTGCTCTGTTGCAAAAACTCGGTAAAAACACATATGCATTTTTGCCATGTTTCTGGTGCATTTTTCGCCTGACACGTGACTCAAAAAAAGCACAAACAATGCAACGCGGGTGCGGTTTTTTATTTCATATTCAGTGCGCTTAACATATATTTCATTGGGGAGATGCGTTTTTATGTGTTTTTGTTGCAGGTGCATTTTTGTATGTGTTTGTGCTGCATTTTTGATGCATTTTCCATGTGGAAATGTGTTTTTTTTACCATGCTAAACATGCATCAAAAATGCAGCAAGCAGGACTTTGAAAAATGCAACAGACCTGCCACTGACCAGTGTGAAGAGTTCCCTAGGATTTACAGTGCCTTGAAAAAGTATTCATATCCCTTGAAATTTTCCACATTTCGTCATGTTACAACCAAAAACGTAAAATGTATTTTATTGGGATTTTAAGTCATAGACCAACACAAAGTGGCACATATTTGTGAAGTGAAAGGAAAATGATAAATATTTTTCACTTTTTTTTTACAAATAAATATATGAAAAGTGTGGCGTGCATTTGTATTCAGCCCCCTTTACTCTGATACCCCTAACTAAAATCTAGTGGAACCAATTGCCTTCAGAAGTCACGTAATTAGTAAATGGTCTACCTGTGTGTAATGTAATCTCAGTATAAATACAGCTGTTCTGTGAAGCCCTCAGAGGTTTGTTAGAAAACATTATTAAACAAACATCATCATGAAGGCCAAGTAACACACGAGGCAGGTCAGGGATAAAGTTGTGGAGAAGTTTAAAGCAGGGTTAGGTTATAAAAAAATATCCAAGGCTTTGAACATCTCACAGAAATGAACAGCTAAAACCCAGATGGAAGACTGGGAGAAGATGGAAGAGCCCAAGCACTAACAGCTCAGAGCTGAAGGGCATCCTTTGACAGGTAAATGTGTCATAATGTATGCTAGAAATTTTTTCTTAGCTGCATTCCACGTTAACATTTTTCAGTTTTGCCCTATTCACACAGCAGCCACAGCCTTATATTGTGTACAACAATATGTAAAACTAATGAGAGAATGATGATTAAATCATACAGAATGAATGTACACGCAGTTCAATGGATAATTAGCTATGCACATTTTATATAGAAATAAAATGTGTCACAAAATATGCATTTGAGTATATCTATGGGTCCTAACTCTGTTTGAAAACAGATGCATTTATGTGTTTATGCGGTTGCTTGAGGACCTTTTACAATTTTTTTCTATTGATTATAATCTATAAAAAGTTCCCCTTCATGTGTTTTGAATGGGGTTTACACAGTGTACATAATTTTATAGTTTGTATAAAAAAATAACCCAATAATAAAACATGAATGGAATGTAGCTGTTACATAAAATTTTAGATGTAATAATTACATGCAATTACAGTTGTGTCCAAAATTATTCAACCCCCACTGAAATTGAGTGTTTTGGCCAGTTTGACATTGCTTTTGATCATTCAGTCATCTTGCTTACATTTACATTAAAGAGGCACTTGTAGGTCAGACAAATATAACATAACAGTTATAATGAAATAACCACAAATGTCTTTTCTGTGCTCACAGCATTATCAGTTTTATTCAACCCCCAAGTGACATTCAATCTTAGTACTTAGTACAGCATCCTTTTACAGTTATAACAGCTTTTTAAAACGTGAAGCATAGCTTGACACAAGTGTCTTGCAGCGATCTACGGGTATCTTCGCCCATTCTTCATGGGCAAAGGCCTCCAGTTCAGTCACATTCTTAGGCTTGCGCACTGCAACTGCTTTCTTTAAGTCCCACCAGAGGTTCTCAATCGGATTTAAGTCTGGTGACTGCGATGGCCACTCCAAAATGTTCCAGCCTTTCCTCTGCAACCATGCTCTAGTGGACTTGGAGGTATGCTTGGGATCATTGTCCTGTTGAAAGGTCCAACGTCTCCCAAGCCTCAGGTGTGTGACGGACTGCATCACGTTTCCATCCAATATCTCCTGGTACTGAAGAGAATTCATGGTACCTTGCACACGCTGAAGCTTCCCTGTACCTGCAGAAGCAAAACAGCCCCAAAGCATGATTGACCCTCCACCATGCTTCACAGTAGGCAAGGTGTTCTTTTCATCATAGGCCTTGTTCTTCCTCCTCCAAACATAGCGTTGATCCATGGGCCCAAACAGTTCTAATTTTGTTTCATCAGTCCACAGAACACTATCCCACAACTTTTGTGGTTTGTCCACATGGCTTTTGGCATACTGCAGTCGACTCTTCTTATTCTTTGGAGACAGCAAGGGGGTACGCCTGGGAGTTCTGGCACGGAGGCCTTCATTACGCAGTGTGCGTCTTATTGTCTGGGCTGAAACTTCTGTACCCACATCTGACAAATCTTTTCTCAGTTCCTCAGCAGTCACACGGGGACTTCTCTCCACTCTACGCTTCAGGTAGCGCACAGCAGTCGAAGTCAGCATCTTCTTTCTGCCACGACCAGGTAGCGTTTTCAACAGTGCCCTTTGCCTTGAATTTGCGAATGATGCTTCCTAAGGTGTCTCTTGGTATGTTTAACATCTTTGCAATCTTCTTATAGCCATTGCCCTTCCTGTGAAGAGAAATCACCTCTTCTCTTGTCTTCCTGGACCATTCTCTTGCCTTCACCATGTTTGTAACCACACCAGTAAATGTCTAGAAGGAGCTGAGTATCACAGTCATTTTAAAGCTGCCTAATTGGTGCTTATTATGCTTGATTGCTGCTCGGTGACATCCACAGGTGTTTTCAATACCTGATGGAAAGCACCTGTATGAACCTCTGTTCTTCAGAGTGGTAGTCTTTAAGGGGTTGAATAATTGTGGCAATGAAGAAACCACATAAGAACCATTTACTACTGTATTACATAAACAATTGATGTCATTTTAGTTGCATTTGGGTAGTTACAACGTCCTTGTAGGATTTGATTCTGAATACAATTCCAAATGTACACTATAGTCCCTAAACCCCTTTACAGCATTGGGGGTTGAATAATTTTGGACACAACTGTAATACCTATAAAATCAGTGGCCAAAATTGTAGGTATTTTATGAATAATAATAAAGCTGATATTTTATTCAACTACATTCTCTGCGGGATTTAGAATTGTGTCATTGGTTTTTTTTTGTACAGCGGAAAATTCTGTTCACTGGGATGACCCATTGAAGGCACACAGAAGGGATTTTTCTTAGACAGGTGTTCTTATAAAGACATCAAAGGTCTAATCAACACTCAATGTTTCTAGTATATGCAAAGTCCTCACGGTGCTTCTTCTCTTGGAACTTCTAGCCAGCATTTTACAGCTCTGAACTCAGGAGTTTTGAGAGCTGAGCATTTCAAAATTCATATTATAAAAATAATGGAAAATTGTAGTTTCCTGATACCATCTCCCTCAACATCTTTAACTGGCCACAGATCTCCTGGGAGAACAGGGGAACTGGATGAGCATTGCTAAGACCAGTAGGGGAGATGTGGTCACACTCCACACTGCCGGCATGTAGAAGTGATTGGTCGGATCTATGGTCTGCTACATCCATTCTACAGATTTAACAAAGTAGTCTCAGAAAGAGTTTCTTTAATCTCTGGCTGAACTCTATCGAGCCCTAGGCACCCATCTACATCTCCTTGTAGGAGATTCAGCTATGAATGACCCCTCACCTTCACTTAAATGTCAACAATCTATTAACAGATCAGCTCTATGATAGTAAGCAAGCATGTATGTGTTCTCGGCATATCGGCTCCCTGGTAATACATCACCGAAACAATACTGCTGTAGATGTCTATAGGTGCCTTAGCAGCACACTATACCAGAAGTCTCTAAGCTTTGACTGCAAGAGTGGCCTGACATTTGGCCATGGCAAGAGGGTTTAAGGGATGTTTTCTTGCAATACAGAGTCTTTTCAAGGCACACAAGGCTAGGACCTGTGATAGACTAAAATTTAATAGACAGATTTGACATGAATGTGTTTTTCTGACTTAACATTTAACAAAAACTGGCTCCCATGAGCATTAGTGATTATAAGCCTGTTTTTTTTTTCACTTTAACAGACCTTTGCTTTCACAATGGGAAGAGATGGAAGTCACTTCGACGCTTTGCTCTCCTCACACTGAAGAACTTTGGAATGGGGAAAAGAAGTGTGGAGGAAAGGATACAAGAGGAGGCTCAGTTCCTCATAGAGCAGTTTAAAAAGACAAAGGGTACAAGTCTTCTACAAAGTAGATTTTGTTTTGTATCAAATATACTACAAAGGAGGAGGGCAGCCAAGGCCAAAGTCTTCAATTAATATGTTGATGTATTTTAGAAATATGATAATTCCATGCCAATCTCTGTTTTTCAGCCCTATACATTAAGATTTAGAATAATACTGTCACAGTCCTTCACAGGGTAGTTGGGGACCACATATAGTGAGGTGGGGAGGATGTGGGTGGGTTATGGTTCACATGGAGTGGAGGTATAGATCCTGATGGAGGTTGGAGATTTGGACAGCGTTAAGGTAGAACTATAGGCAAATATTTTTTTTTGGATAGAGTAAGGGAGGGTTATCCCCTATCAGATTTTTTTTGTTCCATTGTGGAGATTTTCATTTTCTTCCTGTTCTATAGCCAAACAAGAAATGATAGGAAATACCGGCAAATTAAGAGAATTCTTTGGTGACCTCCAGGTCACCAAAACTAGTGTTCCCATTGGAAGATTTCCCCTCTATTACTTTTCTGGCGATAAACCAAAATTTGGGATTTACTTTTACCTTTATTTAAAATAATGGTAAACAAGACAAACAGAGAGGGTGAATCTCCATAACAGGAGGATGCACAAGCAGCAATAAAAACTGACAGGTATAATCTCTCTCCACACTATCCAAAAGTAAAAAAACAATGTTTTGCGTTTAGTTATACTTAAAGGTTTATAGGCTGCAGAGGTGGGGCACAGACAATAGGTTAGTGGGTTGTGGTGTGGTTGGCTGCCACAAACAGTGGGTGGCTAAATAGACCTTCATGGAGTGGGAGTAGGGGCTACATACACTTATGGATGTGGCAAGACAGTAAATAACACTGATGCTTATGATTTGTTTCCTAGGGACTCCAATGAATCCCACAAAATACTTTGCTCGAACAGTCTCCAATGTGATTTGTTCCATAGTATTTGGCAATCGGTTTGATTATGAAGACAAGAAACTGTTGGCAATAACTGACAGCATTTATAATAACTTCATTGTCATGAGCGGCACCTGGGGAACGGTGAGCATAAACAGGAATGCTACCCATTATATTCTTTCCCTTCTCAATTGCACACATGTGGCGGGTTCCTTCTTAATGAGTATACGTTTCCTTTATGTATCAATTGATTTATTTTCTTTATTTACATGATCAACACAAAAAAAAATTTTTTTTTTTGTTTAGTTAGGTAAATATAAAATATTGCATATATAGTTACATAGTTAGTCTGGATGAAAAAAGACAAACATCGATCCAGTTCAACCATAAAAAAAAGTTATAATCCTACACCCACAGTTGATCCAGAGGAAGGCAAAAAAACCCAGCAAAGCATGATCCAATTTGCTCCAGGGGAAAAAATTCCTTCTTGATCCCCTGAGAGGCAAAATGTTAGTAACCAGTTATATTCTGTGTATCCAAGAAAGAATTGAGGCCTTTTTTAAAGCAATCTACTGAGCTGGCCAGATCCAACTCTTGAGGGAGTCTATTCCACATTTTCACAGCTCTTAATGTGAAGAAACCTTTCTGTATTTGGAGATTACATTTATTTTCCTCCATAAGTAAAGAGTGCCCCCTTTTCCTCTGTGATGACCTCAAGGTGAACAACTCTACACCAAGCTCACTATATGAACTACTGATGTATTTATTTGTGTTGATCATAACCCTTTTAATCTCCTCATCTCAAGAGAGAATAAATTAAATTCCTCTAATCCTTCCTCATAGCTGAGCTCCTCCGTGCCTCTTATCAGTTTGGTTGCCCTTCTCTGTACTTTCTCCAGTTCCCCAATGTTCTTTTTGTGAATTGGTGCCCAAAATTGAATTGCATATTCCAGATGAGGTCTTACTAATGATTTGTACCGGGGGAAATGATATCTCTCTCTCTGGAGTCTATATCTCACAAGAGAGGATTTTGCTCGCTTTAGAACCCGCAGCTTGGCATTGCATGCCTTTATTAAGCTTGTGATCAACTAGAACTCCCAGATCCTTCTCCACCATTGATTCCTCCAGTTGTACACCCCCCCAGTATGTATGATGCATGCATATTCTTAGCCCCCAAGTGCAGAACCTTACATTTATTAACATTAAACCTCATTTGCCACATAGTTGCCCAATTAACAGTGCATTGAGGTCAGCTTGTAAGTTGGAGACATCCTGTAAGGACATTATTATACTGCACAGCTTGGTGTCATCTGGAAAGACTGAAATTGTATTTTTAATTCCAGACCCTATATTGTTTATAAATATATTAAAAAGTAAGGGTCCCAACACTGAATCTTGGGGTACACCACTGACAACCCTAGACTATTCAGAGTATGAATCATTAACCACTACTCTCTGAATATGATCCTTTAGCCAGTTTTCTATCCATTTACATATGGAGTTTTCCAAACCTGTAGACTTTACCTTACACATTAGTCGTGTGTGGGGAACTGTGTCAAATGCTTTTGCAAAATCCAAGTATACCATGTCACACCCCACCCCTCTGTCCAAGTATACACGTCCACCACCACCCCTCTGTCCAAGGTTTTGCTCACCTCCTCATAAAAAGAAATCAGATTTGTTTGACAACTTCTGTCTTTCATGAATCCATGTTGTCTGCTGCTTAAAATATTTTTTCCAGCAAGAATTCATCTATGTGGTCTTTTATTAAACTCTCCAGTATCTTTCCAACTATAGAAGTTAAACTAACAGGTCTAAAATTACTTGGCAAAGATTTTGATCCCTTTTTAAATATAGGCACCACGTTGGCCTAATCCAGTGGTACTATGCCAGTCATTAACCCCTTGACGCCGACGTAACACAAATATGCGGCCTCACGGACCTGGGCTTTTTTCCGTGGGGCCGCATATTTGCGTAACTGTCTTTGTGCTGGGAGCGCGCCGCTCGGCGCGCTCCCAGCACCAAGACCGCGGTGTCACTGAGAGCCCCAGGTCCCGTTCTAACGATCGGGACCCGGGACTCCAGATTCCGGGTCACATGATCGCTGTGATAGCCTCTGATTGGCTATCACAGTGATCAATCACTGTGCAGCCCGGCCCCCTTGTTTTCTCTCTCTCTATGAATGGAGAAGAGAGATACATTGTATCTCTCGAACTCCTGACACAGAGAGAGAAAAAAAAGTTTGTAAAAAAAAAAAAAAAAAAAAGATAAATAAATATTAAAAAATAAAAGAAAAAATAAAGAAAAATACCTAGATCAAGGTTTGATCTAGTTCAGTACCAGGGTTAGTGTTTGGGTCAAGGTCAGGGTCAAATGTCAGGGTCAAAGGTCAGGGTCAAGGGCAAAGGTCAGGGTCAAAGGTCAGGATTTAAAAAAAAAAATTGGTGTCAGTTAGTGTTAATGTCAATGTCAGTGACAGTGTGTTTTATATTAAAAAAAAAAGACAAAAACAAAATGCGCACTGTTGTTTCTGGACTGTACTACGGGTACAAACAACAAATAACATACACATATATGGTATCGCTGCGATCGTCAAGAACTGGAGAATGTATTTTGAGTTGTTCTTTGGTGGTAGGTTATGGTCGTAACAAGAAACACACAGTTAAATTTAAAAAAATGATTTTTTTTACTATTTTGGCCCAGTTTTCCTTTAATAATAAAAAAAAATTAGGAGCTATCCATGACCATTTACCACCAAATGAAAGCCCAATTTGTCCTGAAAAAAACAAGGTATAATCCACCTGGATGTACAAAGTAGTTGTGACGATATGTACGGTTTTACTAACACGTCAACGTTGCAGAATTGTGCTTAGGCATTTAGATTTGTTTTACCCTTAGGCGTGAAGGGGTTAAAGAGTCCCTAAAAATTAGAAATAATGACTTTGAAATGACAGAGCCCAATTCTTTAAGGACCCGTGGGTGTATGTCATCCAGTCCAGGTGATTTATTTACCTTTATTGTGTCTAAATATTTCTGGATCATATCAATTGTGAGCCAATGAGGATCATCTGGAGCTGTTTCAATACATGCCCATTATGGACAAGAGCTCCCCCATGCTATCTTATATACACAGAGCTGAAGAAGGGATTTAAAATTTGCCTTCTCTTTGTCCCCAGTTACTCACTCTAGATTTTTTGTAAAGGGCCTACATGCTCGGACCTGACGATTTTACTATTCATATATATGAAGACTTTTTTTCCTGCCTTTTGCAAAACAATTTTTGTGCCTTTATTTCCCTTTTTGTTAAATTTTATATTTTTGCATTCCTCCATTTTTTGTGTTTAATAAACAGCTCTTTTTGAAGATCGTTCCCATTTCTGTGTTATTTTCATGAATGCCAATATTCCCTCCCAGTCAGTCTTGGAGAGCAGCTCTCAGCCTTGGAAATTTAGTGCTCTTAAAGTTGAGCGGTTTTATTTTTCCTGTATGTGCTTGATGTTTACAACTAACAATAAATGAAATCATGTTATGGTCACTGCTACCCAGATGTTGTTTTATATGGACATTCGTAATAAGCTCTGCATAGTTTCAGATGACCAGGTCCAGCAGAGCATCATTCCTAGTTGGGGCTTCTATGAACTGTACCATAAAATTGTCCTGTAGTCGGTCTTTAAATGTTTGTCTCTTTAACTGTTCCTGCAGTAACATTACTCCAGTCTATTTCCGGGTAGTTAAAATCCCCCATTATTATCACTGTCCAAGCCCTAGCAGCCCTTTTGATCTGTGCAAGGAGCTGAGGCTCCACCTCCTCATTAACATTGGGAGGCCTATAACAAATTCCAATGATTCCCTTTTTAGTACGCACCCCGTGTGCAGTTCCACCCATAATGCTTCAGCCTCATCACACTCTCCATCAACTAGGTCTTCTTTCACACTTGCTCTGAGATCACTTCTCACATAGAGACATACACCACCACCTTTCCTATTTACCCTGTCTCTCCAAAAGAGAACATAAGCTAGGAATATTAATGGCCCAGTCATGTGAAGAATGAAGCCAAGATTCAGCAATACCAATTAAATCATAGTTCTGTCCATGCACCAAAGCTTCAAACTCACCTATTTTGCTTGGCAGACTTCTGGCATTGGTGAACAAACATTTTAATTCATTGACACCTTGTGCACACTTATTTTTCAAATTTTTATTTTCATACAAATGGTATCAATTCCAATGGTTGTTTGTAACATTGGAAACTTCTTATCATCTGCCATAGCCCTCCCCCCATCTTTCCCCATTCCACCCACCAATAAGGATTGACCCCTGTCTGATCTGTCTGCCCCATTATAATCTAATTCTCCCTCCCCCCTCGACCCTAGTTTAAATACTCCTCCTGCATCCCCATAAACCTCTCCCCCAGCACAGCAGACTCCCTTCCATTTAGGTGCAGATCATCTCTAGCATATAGGTTGCACCCTAATGAAAAGTCAGCCCAGTGCTCTAGAAATCCAAATCCTTCCCTCTTACACTAGGTCTTTAGCCATTCATTTAGTTCTCTAATCTCCCCCTGTCTTTCCTGAGCTGCGCATGGCACAGGTAATATTTCAGAGAATATCACCTTGGAGGTCCTTCCCTTCAACTTGCAGCCTAGTTCTTTAAATTGATTCTTAAGGAGCCTCCACCTTCCATGTATTCTGTCATTGGTTCCAACATGACCAAGACAGCTGGGTCATGCCTAGCCCCTCCCAGTAATGTATCAACCCGGTCCATCACATGTCGAAACCTGGCACCAGGGAGACAGCAAACCATTCGGTTGAGGCGATCCTGGCAACAATTATTTTATCAGTCCTTCTGATTATAGAACCCCTACTACCACCAATTGTCTAAGCCTTCCTGCACTACCCTCACCACCCCTCCCAGATGGTCTGCCCTCCCGACTGTTAGGGATAGCAGTGACATCCAGGGCTGCCACCCCTGAGCTTGCCACCCTCACATCTTCACCCAACTTGGCAAATCTGTTTGGGTTCATAAACCCAGGGCCGGCCATCCTTTTCTGTGAGCCCCTACCACTCCCTCTAGTTACAGTAACCCATCTTCCTACCTGATAATCCTGATTAGCCCCTCCACATCAATCCCATTAGCTACCTGCTCAGGAAGCAGAACTCCCCTTTCAAGGTTGTCATTTCTGCCCAGTTTTGCAACTTGCTCCTCTAGATCTCTAGAAGGGCAACCCGCTCACATATGTTGCAACAGTATCCATCCTAAAGCTGTTGCTCCATTGCTGCATACATGTGCAACACTGTGCACTACACAAAACCTTCAACCCTCCTAGCACACATTATCCCAGTTACAATATTAATATTACTAATAGGAATTATCAGTTGTCACTTACAAGTTAGTAGAGTCCTGTTATAATCTCCTGTTTTCAACTCCGTTTTTTTTTAACTCCACTTAATCAATGGTCCACTTGGTCAAAGGTCCGGCAAAATACAGGCAAGCTCAAGAATGAGCTCTACAGAAAGTTATATAGTACCTGTAGCACCTGTGACCAATTAACCCCTCCCCTTAATTAGCAGACTGAAAGAAAGCAAGGAAAGGAATGGAAGAAAAAAATGCTATTTAAAAAGTTGCAGAAATAGTGGTTTAAAAAAGTAAAAGCTTCTAGCAAGACCCAGAGAAGAAAACAACTACAAGCACCAGCAATCACCTGCAACAGTCAAAAGTAAAACTGTTTTTCACTCTGCACTCAAATTTCCAACTCTTTTTTTAGCTATCAGCCAGCAAAGAGTGCCAGACTTCAAATTGCATATGAATATTTTGTATTCTTATTTTTAGCAAGCAGGTGAAGTTCTCAGGCCCTTTTCAAAAGGTTTCCTTTGTTGTAAAAAATGTTCTGTACACAGCTCAGTAGCTCAAGCTGAAATGTTAAGCACAAGTGAAGGGGTTAGAAGAGGGTAATCTAATTGGATGGCACCCTAAAGGCTCAAGTAATCCCATGTCTAATACAGTATCTAATATAGATAGATAGATAGATAGATAGATAGATAGATAGATAGATAGATAGATAGATAGATAGATATAAAAATGTAGATAGATAAATTGGTAGATGCAAGTGAAGAGTACCCTTTGTGATGCTCTGAACTTTCTCATGGTCCATGATATACAACTGGGGTTAAGACAGTGAATGCCCCATCAAACCCAATCTAAAATATTTGGGCTCTTAAGTCCCAGAGGCCCCTTACTGCATAGTCTGTTCAAGTGCTTGGTGTGTATGTATGTACTGTATGTGTGTATGAAATATGTATACAAATAAAAAATAACTGATGAAGTTCACCCAAAACCATTTTAGTTTTCCTTTAGGCGAAATGCACATGGGTGGCTTGGCCCATCTGCATCAAATTTTGTTTGTTTTTTTGGTGCTTGGGAGCCATGTTTTTTCAGGGATGTATGCCCTCAATGCAGAATTGCGCACTGGTAAATGCCACATATTTCAGCCTGTCATCAATTTTGACAGGCTGCTGGCAGCAAGCCTAACACTGCACCTGTGCCTTCCAGGTGCCCAAAGATACCAGGATTTGATGCTAATGGACCAAACTAACCATATGCATGAGGCATTAAAGAAGTTTTAAAACCTCAGCACTAAGTCAACGTTTCCCTTTGGACACATACAATACCTTTTTCTTTAATATCACTTGAAAATGTTATTTTACCTTTTCAAAACTTTACATGCAGTCCCCTAAATGTCCAGCTGGGATTGGGCAGTGCAGTCAGAGAAGGACAACCTGACCTCCTAAAGTAGAGTAAACAGGCACCAGCAAAGATTAGATAAACCAGATATCAATCTGGAGCTGGTGGACAGAGGAGTCCTCTTGTTACTTAGCAATCTGTAACTGAGAACCAACACACAAAGCTTTTTCTTTTTCAGCTGTAGTTAGGTTGAGGAGAGTGCATGTAGAGGTGGCTCCAGGGAGACATCACAAGGCATAGGAACCACCTTATACAGTGGATAGAAGTGTACTTTGCCAGATTTTTAAGTTCATCTCCTGCAAAATAGATTGTGCTAAGAATGAAATCATGTGGCAGCTATCAAAACATGTAAGTGTAGCTAACTTCATTAAGCTAACTTCAATCATTAACGTCTCATTGCTATAATCGTGCATTGGAACATATTGATAATTTTACTTGCAACACAACTAATCAGCTTTAGGTGTATAACTAAATTAAAAACTGCCAAAAAAGACTACTTTTCCTTTAAGTGTATAGAACTATTTAGAGAGAGGATTATGGGGTCGGTTTACTAAAGGCAAATTTGTGAACTTTCCAAAGAAAGGTAGTTTTCCCCAGAGATTAGTAAATGGGGTGAAGCTCTGTTGACTTCCAACATCAAAGTAATTTGTAGGCAGGTGCCTACAAGTCGGGCTGATATTAGAGGTCATGGGCTGCCCAAGTGGAGAAAGGTTAACATTGGGCATGCCCGTTTTCTGGGTTTCTTCTGGGCCTACCCTACTCCCTGTGGTATACATAAATAAGGGGGTGGCTTGGTCTAGGGAGCTCTGGAGAGAACTGCATGGAAAAGACTAACAGGTCCATGTCGGATGATGTAATCTGCACCTACCTGTGAACTACCTACATGGGAATCTAGCTCATAAGGACCCTACCAACTATGGGCAGCCAGAGATCAGTTAGACAGGAGGAACAGTGTTTTGTGCTAAGAACTGTATTGTCACAGGAAGAGTTCAGTAAAGTTCTTGAGCTGTTTAAAAGTCTGGTCTGAAGTTACTGAAAAGGGTGCATGGAGGTAATGGCATATCTCAAAGAACAGAGCCTGTAAAGTACACACAGGGTAGAAGAGGAAGTCCATCACAAAGGGTTTCCTTGTCAGGAGAAACAGAGAAACGTAGTTGCCATAGGTAACCATGACTGGTGGGAATGTTATTGCAGCTGTTCAGCAGCAGTAACTGGAGGAGGTGACAGGTCCTCCAGTAGCGAGGTGGTTGGTGTTCTGGCTCCCTCCCTAGTGGTTGGTTCCCTTGAGGAGTAACCAGGACTGAACCTGCAGTACGGAGATCCCAGGTACATGGTACAGGAGAAAGAGAGCTTGCCAGTGCACGGCGGGGACCCCATTCTGTCACTGGGAGCAAGGTGGCAGAGGTACGCTGGACTGGTGGAGAGGGCACAGGCTCAGCAGTATCCCTCCCAAATGCAACATTCGTAAAGCAAAGGTGTATAGTAACACAGGACAACATGTCAGGCTTCTGCCTTAATGTTGATTTTCACATGAACATGGCCCTGTCTGGTCCTGGACATTGATGAGTGTGTACACAAGAAGAGATACCCCCACGTATCAAGGTGCAAGGTGGCCCCACCCACAAACTCAACCCCATGTTGTCATGCCTTTTAGATATGACTATTTTGTTGTCAAGGTTGTGTTATCATTCTTTAAGAACAAGGTCCCTAGAGGTCCATAGATACAATCAAGCTTTGGTCCCCCTGGGTTGCACCCTCTCAGCATTTGGTGGTATATGTCCATGTACTGTATGTTTTGCTCAGGTTGTGCTCTTTGGTTCTTTATTGATATTTTGTTTGTATGTTTTGTTTGTGGCAATCCAGCTGTACAACATGTATCCAAACCTTATGGATCACTTGCCAGGTCCACACAAAAGAATGCAGAAGTATTTTGATATGATCTATGACATTTCAGCAGAAAGCATCAAATACCACAAGGAAACTCTGGATCCTGAAAATCCTCGTGACTACATTGACTGTTTCCTCATGAAGATCAGAGAGGTAATCACAACCTTCACCTAAACCTTTTACCGAGGTTCCCTTACTGAAATGGCTATGCTTTTAATTTTTTATATATGTGAAAAGAATCCACTAAAGGTGAACCTAACCATTACAGCCCTGGTTGCACATTTCCACCACTCCCCCACTGCTCCACTGGTCTGCTGAGACTAAAGAGAAATTCTAGGTACTTTTGGGTATGGGGTAGAATGGGTCTTATTCCCCATCTTCCGTGTGACTTGTGACACTGCTTGCCAAGTGACATGGCTTGCCAAATTGCCCACACATGCACCCAGTGCCATCACACTGGGTAAGGTGAGGGACCTCAGACTAAGTCGCAACTTATGCAGGGTTTGACGGACTGCCTGGCACCCCGCCTTGGTGCTTCCTGTCATAGAACTGTTTCCTCGCCACTGGGACACAGGAAAAAAGTATTATAGCTGGCTATTGCACCCAAGGACTAGATGACACTTGTTTAGGTGCAAAAGTGAAAACTTTATTGAACAGAAATACAGATTTTGATACACTTTAGAAATAGGGGCAGTCCCTAAACGGACAACAAAACCAACCTTACACATTTGGATAAACATCCCACACTGTTTAGGTAATGAGGTCAAGTTGACACCAGACTAATCCCATCATGTAGGAACCTCCAGGAGGACTAGCCAACAGACAACAGGGATCTAATTAACAGTAGGCCAATCAACAGCCAGGTACTTAGTCCAACCAGGAGCCCACCCCAGACAGCCTGGCACCTCTAACCCTGCATACACAAAGTTCATTATACATGCTGTCTTTCAGGTGCTTTGCCCCCACCTGTGCAATCTGTCCATCATGAGACAAAACACATGCAATATTCCAACAGTCTGAAAAAGTGGAATTCATTTATCTTCATAGATTTCTTGTGGGAGATTTCCGACAAACATCTCTGTCCCAAGTGGAGGAGCTCCAACCCAGTCTGCAGGAGGGCCACCATATTTCCTCTGACCAGTAACCTGTACAAGATTATTATTACACCTTTCCATCCACTCCAGAAGGAAAGCTTTATTCTCTTTATTCAGATAATTAATCCAAGCATCAATTTCAGCATTCATCACATTATTATTCATCATCACAAACTGTTCTGCTCTCTCCATGTAATCATAAGCTGAACTTTTCCATGCTCTGACTGGGAGAAGCACACAAAATCCCTAATCTCCTCCATGGGCCTTAATCAGTGGGTAGAAGGCTAGCCCCTAGTCCCCTCCAAAAGCCCTTGTCCCGGTTGGGTCTGTCACACAGGATTTCCTCTCTTTGCATCTGGTGGCCATATGGAACAGCAAGAGAATAAAAAGGGAAAATGTGCATTACTAAGCATATGCAGTTAAAATATAAAACTAAACACTAAAATTGTCTCTTAACCATGTAAAGTGGTTTTTGTAACAATGCTTTTCTTTGGCCCCCGGTTTGAATTAGCATATTTCCCCTAACAATCCCATTTTCTACAATCCAGAACTTCTACATATTCAGTGTAGTGCTTACTCCAGTGGGAGGTGCTGGAAATGTTCTTCTCCAGTGGTTTTCCTTGCAGCCAGGCACATGATCACAGACACTCTTTTCCTCAATAACCAGTCTAAAAGGTGTTTTTTTTTTTAGAACTTAAATAGGAATGAGTGAACTGTGGGGTACTCAAGCAGAAACTTTGTACAAATTGTGGACAGTGAACTCCTTTCTGTAAGGCTGAAGCAGAAGTCCTTGCATATAGCAAAACGTGGCTTGCAGTAGAAGCAGTAAAAGCACATAGGCTTCTTTCTTTAGAGCAACAAGAGCGGAATCCATTCACAGTGAACTACATAGACTAAGCTCTTCAGGACACCAGCTGATATCCCCTTTAGCAAACACACAGCTGACTCTCTAGCACGAGAGGGTGGGGTGGCAGCAGCCCATAAGTCTCTAAGATCTCTCACCACAGTCTGTACACAAAAAAGGCCAGGGACAGCTGCTTGCCCTCTTCCAACATCCATGGAACACCTTTCTCCTGCGATGCCAGACCAGATTTTCAAGAGACAGCCCCTCAGTCAGCTTCAGCATCCAGGCCCTCAGGTCACCCACCTGAGGGCCTTTCAAACAGCAATCGCATGGCAGTGTTGCCCTGGAAGGCAGCTGCCCTCCAGGCTGAAATTGGTGTATTTACCACAAGGCAAACAAGGCATTTGCCTAGGGTGGCATTTTTCAGGGGGGCAGCAGCATTCTTCAGGGGGGCAGCGCTGTCCCCAGAAAGAAAGAAAGGAAGAAAGGACACACGCAGCACGGGGACCAGATGGGATCTGAGAGAGGCTGCTGGCTGCTTGATGGTGTATGCAGAGCCTGACTATTGTTCCCAGGGATGTCCAGAGCTGTGAAGGTGAGTGTCTTATCTCTTGTCAGGGTGGGGGGGGGGTGTTGCCAGTGTATGGGAGCCGGTGGTAGTGGAAGGCTCTCTCGGGTGGGAGTGGGGGGTGCTGGAGTGTTGGTCAAATTATTCACCAGGCTACTCATCCACAGTGTTGCCATGTTGGCTGTATGAGCTGCGTGTGACTTCCTGATGTCTCACAGGCTGGCTCCCCACTGCGCATGCATGAGATCATGTGGCATGGTGAGACTGGTTCTGCAGCCTCCTGGGCCGTGTGACATTTCCCAAGAGACTGCAAGGGGGGAGGGCCAAACTGACTTCATTCTTGCCCACTGGAGAGTGTATTACTCCATCTTGTTCATATCCAGTTAAACTCTAAACTATATAGTATTGTTAAACCCTTCATGAAGAGATCCCCTGCTGAATTAGAGCTGAACATTATAAATGTCAAATTTGTGACATCCATGGCCATTCAATTGTTTGCCCCCCAGAATTTAAAGTGATTCTAAAGTTTTCAAATATTTTTTAAATAATAAAGATGTTATACTTACATGCTCTGTGAAATGGTTTTGCACAGAGCAGCCCTGAACCTCCTTTTCTGGGCTCCCCTGCTTGCTGTGGGAGCACGCATGCAGACTCAATCCCAAGTTGGGCTGTGTGCATCTATGGCACACACAGCATGGCTCAGGACCACCCCCCCACTCCCAGGATTTGATTGACAACAGCAGGATCCAATGGCTCCCACTGCTGCCTCCATGTCCTGTGTGGAGAGAAAGAGAAGAAAGCAATACTGCTCTTGGGTTCAGGCTCAGGTAGATATTTAACCAATTCATTACCGGGCAATTTTACATCTTCCTGCCCAGGCCATTTTTCAGGTTTCAGCGCTCTCACACTTTGAATGACAATTGCGCGGTCATACAACATTGTACCCAAACTAAAATTTTATCATTTTCTTCACACAACTAGAGCTTTCTTTTGGTGGTATTTAATCACTGTTGGGGTTTTTATTTTTTGCTAAATTAACAAAAGAAGACCAAAAAAAAAAGTTTTTCTTTGTTTCTGCTATAAAAGTTTGCAAATAAATAATTGTTCTTCATAAATTTAGGCCGAGATGTATTCTGCTACATGTCTTTGGTGAAAATAACCCAAATTAGGATGTATTTTTTAGTTTGTAGGAAAGTTATAGAGTTCACAAACTATGGTATAGATCTGAATATTGATCAATCCTGAAGTTCTGACGGCCAATCTAATTTCTTGAGGTCCAAGAATGTCAGAACAGTACAGATATCCCCCAAATGACCCCTTTTTGCAGAGTAGACAGCCCGACGTACTTCATAAGAGGCATGGCGAGTTTTTTGAAGTTGTATTTTTTTGTCATAATTTTGCGGAAAATTAAAAAAATTAAAAAAATTTGTTTCACTATTTATTTTACATACTGTCACCAGTGCAGTACAGCGTCTTCATATAAATGGCATGGCGGTGATCAGGGACGCTGACTGGTGGCAGTATGAAAAAAATATATATATATTTTTTTTTTTTTATTATTATTTTTATTAAATGTTTTTTCTTTTTTTAAGATTTTTTTTTTCATATTTCACTATGAATGAAGCCATCCATTGTATACAACTGTCATGTGACCTGCTGTGATTGGTCACAGCAGGTCACATGGTACCGGCAACAGGGGCCGATACTCAGATCTGTCATCGGCCGTGTCCGAGGTACATGGTTAAGGTGGGCTGGTGGGGAGCTGACCATGGAAGGTTTTTACCTTAATGCAGAGAATGCATTAAGGTAAAAACAAAAACTCCAAAGCGGAACTTTAGTATGAAAATAAAATTTTGTTAGATTATTATTATTATACAGTATTTATATAGCGCCAATAGTTAGTTCAGCGCTTTACATTATAATGCGAGACAGGGCACAAGACAGTACAGTAACAATACAATTAGATACACGAGGGGTTTGAGGACCCTGCTCCTTGGAGCTTACAATCTAGGAGGGAGGGGATAGTGGTACAGGAGGAAATAGCTGTGGGGGATGGAGTGGTAGGAAAAGTGGAGATCGGCAATTAGGTGAGGGCGGGGTAGGCTTCCCTGAAGAGATGGGTTTTCAGGGTAGATCACTTGAGGCTGGCCCCTTTTGCAATTATAGCTATGCAAAACATTATTAATAAGTGCCTATACTGTTTAAAATCCAGTAATGCAAAGTCTCACTCAGCTCTGCACCTGCTCAGTTGCTCTCTATTTTTGGGCAGTGTACCGAATTTGTAAAGGCCGATCTGCTGACAGCCTAAAGATTTACTGCTGCTCAGGAGCTCTGGGACTCATCAAAATGGCAGCGTCCAGCAAGAAAAAATGGGAGCAATGCTGGAGGCAATTTACAGCACACACTGATTTTAGCAGAATAATTCTTAATGGAACTTCCAGTCGGATCCTCGTGATAAACTAACATGCAGCTCTAAACTGAACTGTGCATGAAAGGACTCACAAATGTTGTTTTTTTTTATCTGTTATGACTCGTTTACAGTACCTTGCTAGATATCAATGAGCAAAATGTAAATCCTATGTTGTTATATTACTTTAATATAGTTAAATTATTTCTCCATGTTAAGGAATCTGACAACCCAGACACTGCCTTTTATGCCAAATCTTTGGCCAGAACAATTCAGAACCTGCTGTTTGGAGGAACAGAGACGGTCAGCACTAACCTGAGATATGGATTCTTGGTGCTCATGAAATACCCGGAGGTGGCAGGTGATTTCTAAGTTTTATCTTATTTAAGTCCTTAAAGAGCACTGCACATAGAGCAGAACTGCTAGTATGAATATGAAGTAGACCTTAACAGTACAGGATGTACAAGTCAAAGGAAAATTGAGATTATTCCAAAAAGCATTGGTCCAAGTAACCATTCTGGATGAAAATCCTCAATTAATATACTAATGCAGACAATGTTTTCTTAGTGTCTACTTCCATTTCCATTGTGTGGTGGCCCAACACCCTGCAGCCTGTATCCCATCCCAAGGTCTCACACATAGAACAGTTAAGCCATGGAGAATCATGGCTGTCCTGGTGTGAATACATTTGGTCCCTATTTTTGATAGCCAAACTGTGTGCATGCCTAACCACTTGAAGACCAGTGACATACCCTGAGGTTGCTGGACTTCAAGTGGTTGTACCATGATGATGCCTGGTTTAACTGGTCCAGTGGTTTAACTGGGTTTTAACAATATCTTTTTTAAAACTGGAATGTATTTGATCTTGGTGTGATCAAATGCTTTTAAGTGCAGAGGAGGGATTTGGGGTCTTATTGATCCCATATCTCTCAAAGAGTACCAGTCACTTGCCTATTTCTGCCACAAGGGTTGTTTACTTTGGTTGTGACAGCAATAAAAGTGATAATAAAAAATGAAAGCGACATCATAAAAATTGAAAACAAGTAAAATTTTAAAGTGCCCCCAGCTTGCAGACAAAGGCACAAAGGCGAGCGCATGCGTCGGTCCCGCATGCACACAAACAGCCTTTGTTCCCCACATGTGAGGTATCACCATGAACATCAGATCACATGTGGTAATTCTAGCACCAGACCTGCTCTGTAAATTTAAAATGTTAATCTGTAAAGGCAATTCAATTGTCATCTATGGATAGTAATATTTACGTTGTTGCCGATGCATGGACATGCGCAGTTTTAAAGCCTGACATGTTTGGCATCTATTTACTTAGTGTAACATCATCTTTTATATGTTACAAAAAAAATTGGGTTATGCATTGTGTCTTTTGCATTAAAATTCCAAACAATTTGTGTTAAAAATATTGTGTTTGAAAAATCACTGCGCAATTATCATGCGACATATCAAATTGTAAGGGAGAATGTCACCAGCACACCGAGGATCACCAATATGGGTCCAAAAGTTTTAATGAACGACCACATAGTTACAGCAAGGCAACGTTTCGGAGTCTCGCAGGACCCCTCCACATGCCTGATGATCCTCGGTGTGTTGGTGACATTCTCCTTTGCTGATTCTGTTTGGTTCCAGCTGACAGTCACTGCAGCACCCACTTATACACACAGCCATTTTTAACGCAGGAACGTGTGTGTTTGGATTGTACACTTGCATAAAAAAATTGCAACACCCACCGATTTATTTTGTAGAGCCTCTGCTTTGAAAATATATATATATATATGTTAAGGGGTTCTAAGAAATTTTCTAGCAAAAAAAATACTGATTGTTAACAAAAAGTGCCAGAAAAGTCTTGGTCTTCAAGTGGAGAAGGAAGAGAAAGACTGCAGAGAAACAGGTCTTTGAATGATGTAAACACTGCCATGGACATGAGAATAAATGAATGCCTGAATCTGAGGTCTGGATGTTTATTAACAGTTTCCATCAGAAGAGAAAGGGGGTCTTTATGGAGTTATTTTATTTTAGATTAACAACTTAAGAAGGTGAGACGTTTTGTAGTGGCTTAAGCCAAACAGGAAAGAGGTGACACCATAAGCTGGGTTTCTCAACCAGGATCACTTGGATTTTAAGACTGTTACAGAAAATTATTTTGTAGGGGGTTGGTGATAAAATTGCCCTGCGTGTCAAGTATGCTAAGTACAGCACATTACTTATTTTTTTATTTTAAACTTTCTTCAACTTGATAATCACACTTGTTTACCATTAGCTGTAGGTTTAATAGTTTTTAGCACGGGTTCCACAAACCTGAAAGTTATTTCAAGGGGTAAAAAGGTTGAGAAAAGCAACTGTAAGTTAACACAAAATCTTCTATTTCAGCCCCAACGCACATATACATCCCCACCCCACATAGTTGCTCATAACTCTAGTCAAGTCAAGTGCCTTTTCTATTGGTTGCACATGACCCCACCAAGCTATTGCCAGGCCCATGCATTGCAAACAAGGGGTGTGCTAGCATCGCTACTTCAGTTGTATTTATGAATACAGAAGTTGGCTTTAAATGGTTACTACACCTACACAAAACACACATTTCTTTACCTCTAGCATCACCACCTTGATCTCCTCACCTAATTGTAATCTAGGACCACTAATCTTAGGTGCAGGCAATTCACTGTGTCCACTGCCACAGAATGAACAAGAGGGAACAAGGTTTACATGATAGAGAATAGATGCCACACTGCGATCTCCACTCTTCCAGATACTTTTATTCAAGCATCAATAATATACTTGCAATAATAGTGTCTCCAAAAGAAACCCGCACCACAACACGTTTCACCACGAACGGTTTGATCACGAGGATCCTCATTATCAAGCCATTCATACTGAAGGAGGTGGTGGTTTCTTTTGGGCGGAGACACTATTATTGCAGCTATTTTGTTGGTGCTTACATAAAAGTATCTGGAAGAGTGGAGATCAGAATGTGTCTCTTTTTCATTTATTTTCTAAAATTATGTCAAGATGGGTTTCTTTTAGCTTGCACACTGTTTATCCATGGACAGGTGAGAAGAACATGCCTGGTGCAGTGCTGAGGGTTTAAGATGTTTCAACTACAGGGTTTACTGTACATGATGTAGTGAACTAATAATGAATAGGTAGGCGCTGTGCATAAAAAGAACAAGAGTTCACCCAAGTGAACCCAATGTAATTGCTGGGTATTTGTTATCTGTGGGTGGACAACCTGTTGGTGAACTGTTCATCAAACAATATAATCAATAACCATATATTAATCCTATTACCATAAAAAGTCCTTGTGCTTCCACCACACGCTAAATAAACATAAAGCGTAACAGTCCTTTTTTAAGGATCAATAATGGTGACAAGAAGATCCATATATCCACACCTTGGTGCAAAGACAAATGAATGGCTCACTCACCAGACCTATATGACCCCATTCTGGTGGTCATATATCACATTGTGTTTTATAAGCCAAGACATTCATTAAGGTTCCTCCAAAATGATCTCCATCACCCACACTTCATAGTTGTATAGCCAGGAAGACTGATGTAAAATTGCCAATGGTTTCACCAAAAGATTTATAAAGGGATTGAGACAGGTGATACTTGCTGGTTATGCCATACCATTTAAAGGAATCAGAGAAGATAAAGCCGTTCTAAGTGTAGCATTTAATGAGGCAACAACAAAATCATAAACAAATTATGTACATTCACATATAGAAGTGCCTATATAGCCGGCACCAGCATGTATTGCCTGTGTAATCCATTAAAATGGCTGATGTGCGCTCCAAGCCTCACTTCTGCTCCAGCCAGACGTGACATCACCGGAGCCCAAATATGACGGAATCACGTTTCTTCGACGTACGTTTCACCTGGCGGTGTCTAAAACACCCTGGGAGGGTAAATATTAATTAAGCACCAATTTAATTTCTTTATCATTTTTATATTTTATATCAAGTATCTGGCGCCACAATAACATTTTTTTTTAATGTTTACATGATGTGGTGTTTGGGTATTCCTGGTAAAAACTCATTAAGCGTCGGGAGAGTTATGGCAATTTCCATTCTAATTTGCATTTGTCAAGCATGTCTGTTGTTATCTACTATGGGAGGTCACAGTGAATGTGTGACCCTTCACAGCATCCTCGTAATACCGCAACACCGTAACCATCATACCGTATGTACACAGTACCAAACATTGTGAAGGTGGTGGTCACCAGCATAGCAGCATCTGAAATCTGTGGTCTTATTTTACAATTTGATAAGCAGAGCAAAGGGTTGGGATACACGCTTTTTGCATTTAGCATTTATGGTCAGTAGCAGGGAAGAAGGAGGCTTTTCTAAGGGGATAAAGGATGTTGGGAGGAAGACTGATGTAAAATAGACATGCAAATAAATATAAGATGAATGATGCAGGAAAGACTTTGCCAAAATTCACAATATTTCGGGAAAATAATGTACATTAAATAACAGCAAAAATGTTATCAAACTGAATAATAAATAACATTCAATATCTCATGGAGACTTAGCAAGATCTGCCTTCTGTAAAATTATGCCAAAAATTTGTACAGTACAGAGACAGAATGTCAGGGCTCCAGGGTATGACCAGAGGTATGTGAACTGACGCAGGGAAACGCAGACTTCAGATATGTTATAAACAATATAATTTATTAACACTAACAATACATAAACGCAGTGCAATACTAAAACATAACACAGTGCAAACGAACCAAACCACCCACAGATAACAATACATACAATGCAGGCGTCGTCAGGCAGGCCGGGTCAATAACAATCGGGCAGGTAGGAACAGGAGGAGCAGGCAGAGAGTAGTCAGGTCACGAGCCGGGTACAGCAACTAACGGGCAGGTAGGTACAGGGGGTCAGGCAGAGAATGGTCGGGGTCACAAGCCAGGGATCAAACAGGAGAAGTCAGCAGAGGTCTGGATCAGGCAGGGTCAGACAGGAACGGGAACAGGAACAGGAACAAGGATGCAGGTAACAAGATACAGGGGCCCATAGAAAAACACACACCAAGGCCCAGACTGCAGGTCTGGCCATCCCTTAAATACGCCTGCATAATCAGCTTCAGGTGTTTGGCTGGCTGCAGGGTTGAGTCTCTGATTGCTGGGAGCACCCGCTGGCCAGCCCTGGTACTGCAGCCCACAAAGCAGGTGAGTCCCACCATTACTGGCAAGTCCATTCCTGACACAGAACATGATGGTGCATACATTCAACTTTCATACCTTCTATACTTTTTCTTGGTCCAGAGAAAATTCAAGAGGAGATTGACCATGTTATTGGAAGAAATCGACTGCCATCTGTAAGCGATAGAAGCAATATGCCATATACAGATGCTGCTATCCATGAACTCATAAGGTTTTGTGATGTGCTGCCGGTCAGTCTTCCTCGTTGCACATCCAGAGACACACTTTACAGAGGATATTCAATCCCGAAGGTAAGAGAACCTAATGCTACCAGACATTTGGTATTGTGGGAGATGCCTTTGCTGGTCTGTTTGAAAGTGCATTATTTAGGCTGGGCCATGGATAAGGGGTCCTCCTGTACGGGGCTCAGGCCAGCAAGGGGGCCTAGGCAGATGGGTGAATTGGATGTGGGCATGGAGGATAATCGGCAAGGCTGAGGTGGCAGGGCAATTAATGTAACCGATCCCCTGTATGGCTCTCTCTACGTGGGGGAAAGGTCTGGTAAATATGTCACATTTACCAGCCCCTTCCTTTCCTGAATGAGCAAAATAAGTGGTGGTTGGTGACAATCACCTACTGTTTTAATTCATAACTGAAGCAGGTAAGCTGTGTTTTGTTTTTTTTGGGGAGGGGGCAGTCAGGTTGGCTGTATGGGGCACCATGGTTTCTAACAGAAGCCCTGACTTCAGTACGGTAGTCTGTATCCACTGGCAAGTTGCTGTTTGGAAAATACATATTATATGTCCTAATACCTGAAAGAAACATATATGCCCTAGGTGAGTAGTCAACCAAGTAATGACAAAAGGATAAGGTTGACAGCCCTGCAGCATGTAACTTTAAAGTTTTAACCACTTAACCTTTGAAAGGTTTTACCCTCTTCAGGACCAGAACATTTTTTTGCTTATTAACTGGCAATAGCTTGGTCCCGTACACGAAATTAAATTTATATAATCTTTTCACACAAATAGATCTTATTTTTGGTGGTATTTGATCACCAGTGGGCTTTTTACTATGTATTATATAAACCAGAAAAGACCAAAAATTAGAAAAAAAAAACAATATTTTCTACTTTCTGTTATAAAAATATGTTCAACAAAATCAAACTTCTTCATAAACTTAGGCCAAAATGAATTCTGCTATATGTTTTTTGGGGAAAAAAATCCCAATAAGTGTATTTTAATTGGTTTGTTTGAAAGTTATAGCATCTACAAACTATGGTATATACAGTGGAGAAAACACATTTTTTGATCCCCTGCAGATTTTGTAAGTTTGCTCGCTTACAAAGAAATTAAGGGTCTATAATTTTTATCAGAGGTTTATTTTAAGTGATAGAGAAAAAATATCAACCAAAAATCCAGAAAGAACGCATGATTCAAATGTTATAAATTGAGTTGCAGTTCAATGAGTAAAATAAGTATTTGATCCCCAAGCTAAACATGACTTAGTATTCGGTGGAGAAACCCTTGTTGGCAAGCACAGAGGTGAGATGTTTCTTGTAGTTGGTTATCAGGTTTGCACACATCGCAAGAGGGATTTTGGTCCACTCTACTTTACAGGGTTTCTCTAAATCCTTAAGGTTTCTTGGCTGTTGTTTGGCAACTCGAAGTTTCAGCTCCCTTCATAAATTTTCTATAGGATTAAAGTCTGGAGATTGGCTAGGCCACTACATGACCTTAATGTGTTTCTTCTTGAGTCACTCCTTTGTTGCCTTGGCAGTACGTTTTGGGTCATTGTCATGCTGGAAGACCCATCAACAACCCATCTTCATTGCTCCGGGTGAGGGAAGAAGGTTCTCATCCAAGATTTTAAAATACATGGCCCCAACCATTGCCCCCCCCCCCCCAATGCAGCAAAGTTGGCCTATACCTTTAGCAGAGAAAGAGCCCCAAAGTATAATGTTTCTACCTCCATGCTTGACTATAGGGATGGTGTTCTTAGGGTCATAGTCAGCATTTTTCTTCCTGCAAACACGACGAGTCGAGTTAATACCAAAGAGCTAAATTTTGATCTCATTTGATTCTAGCACCTTCTCCCAATCCTTCTCTGAATTATTTAGATGTTCACTGGCAAACTTCAGGCAAGCCTGTACATGTGCCTTCTTGAGGAGGGGGACCTCATGGGCGCTGCAGAATTGCAATCCATGGCAGTGTATTGTGTCACCAGTGGTGCGTTTGGTGACTGTGTTCCCAACTGCCTTGAGATCATTCACAAGCTCCTCCTATGTAGTTCTGGGCTGATCCCTCACTTTTCTCATGATCATCCTTACACAATGTCGCAATATCTTGCATGGAGCTCCAGACCAAGGGCGGTTGATGGTTATTTTGTATTTCTTCCATTTGAAAATAATCGCTCCAACAGTTGTCTCCTCACCAAGCTTCTTGCTGATGGTCTTGTAGCCCATTCCAGCCTTGTGCAGGTCTACAGTCTTGTCCCTGACGTCCTTTGACAGCTCTTTTCCCATGATGGTGAGGTTTGAATAGAAAAAAGAGATTCTGTGTACAGGTGTTTTTTATACATATAAGGAGTTGTCGTTAGGAGCACCTTCTTAAATTGACAGGACTAATTTGTGTATCACATGAGCACATAGCCAGTCTGTGGGAGCCAGAATTATTGTTAATTGGTAGGGGATCAAATCCTTATTTTACCCACTTAACTGCAACTCAATTTATAACATTTGAATCATGGTTTTTTTTTTTGCTTGATATTCTGTCTATATCATTGAAAATACCCCTATGTTAAAAATTATAGACCCTTCATTTCTTTGTAAGTGGGCAAACTTACAAAACCTGCAGGGGATCAAATCATTATTTTTCACTTTGTATTCTGGAATTTACGGAGCTATAGACAGTACACTGGTAATGGTGACGATCATCAACTTATAATGTGACTGTGATAGTTTGCAGAAATCTGGCGCTAACTGACACTTGCTGGGAGGAACACTAATTGACTAACAATGATGTCGCTAGTGACACTAAGGCTTGGTTCACCCTGCTTCAATTCGATTTTGATCCGACTTTCAGTATGATTATGCAGTGCTACTTGGATTCTACTTGGGCACTACTTTGATGCTACTTTGAGGAATTTTTCATATTCTATGAGGACAAAAGTGCACTGGAATCACAAAAGTAGTGCAGGAACACTATTGAAAACAATATGATTTCCATTGTCATGCATTTCTGTGTGACTCAAGTCACATCTGAAATTGCACTGGTGTGAAGGCCTAAGGCTGAGTTCACACTCTTGCGACTTTGGATCCACCTTGTGAGACCCAAAGTCACAGGACATGTGAAATGACACGCTTCACTATGAGAGACATTCAAATTACTACTACGGATGTCTCTGCGACTTAAGAAAAGGTTCCTGAAATACTTTAATGTGGCTTGAGTGCCAGAGAGTGTAGAGTTGCAGTAAAGTCACATCGAAGTCGAAATGAAAATCGGCAACTTTGGAGCCAGCTAGTGTGAACCTGAGCCTAATGCAGTGACCAATGATAATACTGTACACTGTACTAATGGCACTGGCTGGGTAACAGGGGTGATCAGGAAAGCAATCAAGGGGTTAACTGTGTGCCTAACAAATGTAATGCATGTAATGTGTGCTGTTTTTACTCATAAGATCTGGCTGTCTTTTCTCCCTGAACTCAGAGTTGAGATCAGGGAGAAGAAACAGCCAGATTGGTGTCCTGTGTGTTTGTAAGCACAGAACTCTGAGTTGTGATTGGCCACAGTCGATCAGCAGGGTTTATAGCCAAAACCATTGGCTGTAACATGCTGACAAACTCGTGCTGTGTCCAATCACAGCACAGATCATCAGGAGCACACACATGCGTGCTCGAAAACCAGGATGTTCAAGAATGTACAAGTACATTGCGGTGCCTGTGGCCGCCAGTACAGTAAATCTGCTGGTGCATAGTTGCCAACAATCATGGATTGCCCGGGACATTCACAGATTTTTGACATTTGACACGGACAGTCTTTGTCCCGGGCTGAATCACAGAAAATGAGTTTTGTCATGGACAGGTTTTATTTTGTCATGGACTGCCGGCCTTGGCAGTCAGGACATCTAGTACTGCAGAGTGGTAACTATATTCTTTCCCCCTCCCTGCGATTCTCTGCCCTCCCTCTCTGTCCTCCCCGTGCCTGAGACTGCCAATCAGTGAGAGACAAGAAGTCATGTGACTGTTTCTCCCATGCTGATTGGGTGTTACTGTGAATGGGTGTGGCCAGCTCAGGGGTGATCACGCCAGCCCGCCTTGGCCTCCTCCTACTCATGTGCAAGGCAGAGGAAGCTACTACAGAGTGGACTCAGGACCAAGCCCAGGACGCACACCAGCACCACCGATGATGGACACACTGTCAGAGCGGCTGGGGAACGGCCAGATACCACTCTATAGTGTAGCAGAGAGGAGTTGTGTGAGAGAGAGAGAGAGAGAGAGAGAGAGAGAGAGAGAGTTTTGTGTGTGTGGGGGCAGAGTTTTTTGTGTGTGGGGGGTGCAGTATGGTGGAGCATGCTGTAATATCTATGGTGGAGCATACTGTAATATCTATGGTGGAGCATGCTGTAATATTTATGGTGGGGCATACTGTGGTATTTATGGTGGGGCATACTGTGGTATTTATGGTGGGGCATACTGTGGTATTTATGGTGGGGCATACTGTGATATTGTATGAGGGAGCCCAAGAAAATCTGACTCTATTTAACCGTAACCCAACATGTAGGGTAATTTAAGCCACACCCACTGTTTGGTTAGCCTCCATATGTTTATCTCCAAGCCACACCCACAAGTCATTCCCTGTACCTAATTTACATATTGCGCTGCCTACCCTGGCTTTCTGGACCTACAATTCAAAAAAGTGTCCCTAAATTTTTTTTTTACATGTTGGCAACTATGCTGTTGGCAGGCAGCAAGTGGCTAAACTCCAGACACACAAATAAATAGTTAGATAAAATACATGTAAAGGAGTTATCTGCCAAAGGAATTGTTTCTTTCTATGCAGTTCTAAGATTTACACCGCTCTGCCACACAGCACAGCTCTATCTGTCAAGTCAGGAGGCCTACATTTTACCTGCTGCAGTTAAGCACCACTTTCAGGTCTTTTCCCTCTCTCAGTCTATGAAAGGACGGTGACAGAAGAAGCAGGATTTTGATTAGCTCACCTCTCTGTTATTTTGCTCTCTTCTCCTATCAGCATGCCCTTGTTGACATGTGAGTACAGTAGCTCAACAGCCTAAGCTCTGCTGTACCAGGATCGCAAGAGACTGATACAAAGTCGAATTCCAGTATACGGAATTTCATTGAAATACATTTAATAAATTAAATAAACTGCATTTAATAATTTAACCATTTGCTGACCGCCCTATAGCAGCTTTACTGCCACTCTGTGCAGAGGCACGTATACTGTATATACATGATTCTGCATTTCCATGTAGAGGGCGTGATCACTGTATTAGTGTCACTGGAGATGCCAATGGCAGCTAATCAATTCCCACCCAGTGTCAGTTAGTGTTAGATTGCCCGCCGTACTATCACAGTCCCGCTATATGTCACTGATCGCCACCATTACTAGTATTACAAAAAAACTAAATCTAGTATCTATACTATTGTTTGTAAATGCTATCATTTTCATGCAAAATAATTTATATACACTTGGAATTTTATTTACCAAAGACATATTGCAGAATTCATTTTGGCTCAATTTTATGAAGAATTTTTCTTTTTTAAAAACATTTTTTATTGGATATGTTTTATACATAAAAATATATATATATTTATTTTTTCCACATTTTCTGTCTTTGTTTATATCGCAACAAATATAAAACCCAGTGGTTATCAAATACCACCAAAATAAAGCTCTATTTGTGTGAAAAAAACATGATATAAATGTTATTTGTGTACAGTGTTGCATGACCATGCAACTGTCAGTTAAAGTAACACAGTGATGTATAGCAAAAAATCGCCTGGTCATGAAGGGGGTAAATCTTCTGAAGACAAGTAGTTAAAATAGAGCTTTATTCATTTGTGTCTGGAGTTCAGCCTTTAAAAAGAAGTCAGCACTGGGAGTTTGTATATTGTTCTCTTGATGTTCAATTAATTTAAGGTCTTCCTGCCCCAGCTTCAAGTATCAGGGTGGAGGGGATTTTTAAAAATTCTTGAACATAAAAAAAATATATAAAAAATTCCTGCTTGTTAATAACATTTTTGTTTTTAGGGCATATATGTCACTCCACTCCTGGCCTCTGTCCACAGGGACCCGGATCATTACACACAGCCAGACAAATTCAACCCAAATAATTTTCTGGATCACAAAGGGCATTTTAAGAAAAATGATGCCCATATGCCTTTCGGCGCTGGTAAATTATTAAGTATTATTATCATCATTATTATTATTATGATTTAATAATTATTCTTATACAGTTGTGTTTGCTCATTATTAGGAATACAATTTTACCTGGACATAATTGTGTGTGAAATGCCAGCATATAGAAGCCATGGAAAAACAGTCAATTACTGTGCTGGCTGTTCTCCATAGCATTATACTGACTTTTGCTTAAGTGCAAGAGGAGAGAACTATACAGAATGAACAGGCTGCAGATTATATTACCCACTTGAACACCCAGCCTTTTCTGACACTTTGTTTACATTTAAAAATCAGTATTTTTTGCTAGAAAATTACTTATAACCTCCAAACATTTTATAAATATATATACTGTATATACAGAGGATAAAATAAGTATTGAACATATCACCATTTTTCTAGGTAAATATACACTATATTGACAAAAGTATTGGGGACACCCAATCAGGTGTTCTAATCACCTCCATGGCCACAGGTGCATAAAATCATCACCTAGGCATGCAGACCGCTTCTACAAACATTTGTGAAAGAATGGGTCGCTCTCAGGAGCTCAGTGAATTCAAGCGTGGTACCGTGATAGGTTGTCACCTGTGCAATAAGTCCATCCGTGACATTTCCTGGCTACTAAATATTTCACGGTCAACTGTTAGTGGTACAAAGTGGAAGCAAATGGGAACAACAGCAACTCAGCCACCAAGTGGTAGTGAGTCACACACATGGTAGGTCAGCGCATGCTGAAGTGCACAGAAGTCACCAACTACCTGCAGAGCCAATAGCTAAAGACCTCCAAACTTCATGTGGCCTTCAGATTACAAGTGTAAAGTTTGACGGAGAGGGGATTATGGTGTGGGGTTGTTTTTCAGGGGTTGGGCTTGGCCCCTTTGTTTCAGTGAAGGGAACTCCTAAGGCATCAGCATACCAAGACATTTTGGACAATTTCATGTTCTCAACTTTGCGGGAACAGTTTGGGGATGGCCCCTTCCTGTTCCAACATGATTGTACACCAGTGCACAAAGCAAGGTCCATAAAGACATGAATGAGCGAGTTTGGGGTGGAGGAACTTGACTGGCCTGCACAGTGTCCTGACCTCAACCCAATAGAACACCTTTGGGATGAAATAGAGTGGAGACTGCGAGCCAGGCCTTCTCTCCCGACATCAGTGCCTGACCTCACAAATGCGCTACTGGAAGAATGGTCAAAAATTCCCATAGACACACTCCTAAACCTTGTGGACGGCCTTCCCAGAAGAGTTGAAGCTGTTATAGCTGCAAAGGGTGGGCCAACTTACTATTGAACCCTACGGACTAAGACTGGGATGTCATCAAAGTTCATGTGCGTGTAAAGGCAGGCGGCCCAATACTTTTGGCAATATAGTGTATTTCTAAAGGTGCTATTGTCAAGAAATTTTCACCACATGTCGGTAACAACCCATGCAATCTATACATACAAAGACACAAAAACAAATAAGTTCAGAAATTAAGTTATGTGTAATAAAATGGAATGACACAAGGAAAAAGTATTAAACACATGAAGAAAGGGAGGTGCAAAAACGCATGGAATGCCAGGACACCAGCTGAAATCTATCAGTAATTAGAAAGCAATCCTGTTCCTTGTCAGTGCAAATTAATATCAGCTGGTTCATTCTCAACTCATCACACAAGAAATATCTCATGATGGGCACAAGCAAAGAGCTCTCTCAAGACCTTTGCAACCTTATTGTTGCAAAACATACTGATGGTTGGTTACAGAAGGATTTATTAACTTCTGAATGTTCCAATGAGCACTGTTGGGACCATAATCCAGAAGTGGAAAGAATATAATTTCAGTGACGTTTGGGGGTGAGAACATCATGGTGTGGGGCTGTTTTTCAGCATACGGTACTGGCAAAGTTCATGTCCTTGAAGAAAGGATGAATGGAAAAATGTACTAAGACATTTTTGATAAAAATATGTTGCCATCTACCAGGATGATGAATATGAAACAAGGGTGGACATTTCAGCAAGACAATGATCCTAAACACAAAGCCAAGGAAACTCTAATTTGCTTTTAAAGACAGAAAATAAAGCTTCTAGAGTGGCCCAGCCAATCACCTGACTTGGATACAATAGAAAATCTATGAAAAGAACTAAAGATCAGAGTTCATAGAACAGGCCCATGGAACCTTCAAGATTTGAAGACTATTTGTGTAGAAAAATGGGCCAAAATCACACTTAAACAATACATGCGATTAGTTTCTCCATATAGGAGGCATCTTGAAGCAGTCATTACCAACAAAGGATTTTGTACGAAGTATGAAATATAGTTCAGTTAGCATGTTCCATACTTTTGTCATTCCATTTTATTACTCATAACTTATTTGTTTTGGTTTCTTTGTATGTATGGATTGCATGGGTTGTTACTGACATGTGGTGAAACTTTCATGTCAATGGCACCTTTACAAATATATTTACCAGGAAAATGATGACGTGTTCAATACTTATTTTAACCGCTATATATATAGGACCACCTTCTTAAATTGACAGGACTAATCCGTGTACCACATGAGCACATTGCCAAAATTATTGTTGGTTTACTCACTCAACTTTGCAACTCAATTTATAATATTAGTATCGTGTTTTTTCTGGATTTTTGGTTGATATTCTGTCTCTATCATTTAAAATATACCGGTGATAAAAATTATAGACCCTTCATTTCTTTGTCAGTGGTTACCATAAATCCATTCAGTCCTGTTCTCTGTATGGCCCTTTATTTCTCATAGACTGCAATTGCTATCTGTAGTCTACTTTTTCTCTTGCCCACAACTGTGTTCACCAAATCAGAGCTAACAGTAAGGTTAACAATGTCCCATTGACAATACAAAGAGTTTGAGAACAGTAATAAAATGGGTACCAATTTTTAAATCATTAATTTCCTGCTATACAGGTAGTGATGAGCAATCTCTTTAGTGTGTTTTGTATTTCACATCCTAAGAAGATGAACTAATACAGCTGTTTGCTGCCATAACAACCAACTGCTAATAATGTACTTCCGTCCTCTAAACTTATGTTGTCAGGTTGTGAGCAAGGCTACCTCGCCAATGCATAGGGGACTTTTTCCTCTCTCTCTTCCTTCTCCGGTGTTCGGGCTCACTAATGCCTGAGACAAGGCAGGGCCATGTTCATGTAATTTCACCATTAAGGAGGCACCTTGAATTAGAAGAGAGTCACACACATGGTGCAATTGTAACACAACCTGAGGCTTTACAGAATGAGCCTCACTGCCCGTGATACAGGCACCCATATGGAATGTAACATTTTGAAGGAAACATCACTGAGCACATGTCCCAGTCCGTCAATTCAGCCCCCCTATCACCCCATTCCCAATGATGGCCTGTAGCTCTGCCATGTACTTGAATGAACTTTCTTGCATGCACAACCTGTCTTGCTTAACTACTTCCGTATCTGCAGCTAGGTCCCTAGGGTCTCTGTCACGCATATTCAGTCCCAGTTAACTGAGGAACTGACTACTTAGGAGGGAAACAGCGAACCACTCCCCTTTCCATATGCCATATACCACCATGCATCCCTTTGTAGACCAGGCATTTCAACGGTTACCAACTTTACTTGTAATACTGTGATATTACAGTCCAAAGTGCACATCAGTCCCACTCTGACTAGCTAGTCCCAGACTTCCCAGGCATAACTTTCAAGGTAGCAGTCCATAGCTGGAAGAGTAATTAATAGGTAGGTTCCCATGCTGGGATACTTACAAGTTGCTCGTGGTTACATCCTTATGGCGGGCCTCTTGTAGGGATTAAGAAGTTACCTTTCACTGTAGAGGATGCATAAACAAAAAGGAGATTTCTACATTTGAAAAAAGTTGGATATTTGAACTTTGACTATATTCCCCTATAGTTTAAATGTGGAGTGAGATTTCAGCTGCATCATTGAGCACACAGAATCTGGTGTGAGCAGATCTTCATACATCTATAACTAGTGCCTTCATCTGTCATGTGATCTAAATAACATGGTGCAGGTCTAGGAGAAGGTTTGTGTTGGGTCTGGTGGGTTTGCTATCCAGAGGAGCTTGAACAGGTCTTCCACTACCTAATTTCTTTGGTTACAAATCTGCCCTGGTACGGCTAACCTTGAGGTTTCTAACACTCACTCAGGAACCAATGCATGGTACTGGCTAGATCTGAAACCTGACCTGCCAGTTATAAAATAGTATTCTGTCTCTCTTTGAACTTCTCCCATCTTCAATGTCCCCTCTCCAATTTTATACCTTCCAAAAATTTGCTTCAAGGAAATAAGAGACAAAGGCAGTCAACTAAAGGACCCAATAAAAACAGACATCCCAATGTGTTATAATCCATCTGTTGTTTTTCATATTGTACTATTATATACTGTAAATCATTAGTCCAAAATCCATGTCTTACCATTGCTCTAATCTTGTTTTGACTTGTCTAGGAAAAAGGATGTGTCTTGGAGAAAGCTTGGGACGGATGGAACTCTTCCTATATTTCACTTCATTGCTTCAAAATTTCAACTTCAGACCAGTCATTCCAAAAGAGGAGATAAACCTTAAACCAATGGGGAGTGGACTGGGCAATGTCCCACCTAACTACAAGTGTTGTATCATACCTCGCTAACTTCCTAGTCTTTTAGGCCACACTAGGATCACATGGGACCAACTTTAAAAATGAACCCCTTTTAGACATTTTAAGTGACTGAAACCTAAAGGAAAACTCCACTTTTGTTAAGGAACTGATATTGCATAAATATCTGCTACACAAACCATTTTGTTATTTAAAATGTATCTAAAGAAAAAAAAAACAAAGATGTAACATACTGCAACTTGACAATCCCTAGATGTCATTGCTTCATTAGGCCCCTTAAATATGGGATGGTGGACTCTGGGCAGACTTTGCTTGCTCAGTGGGGGATCTGTCCGCTGATCCCTCGATGAGCAGAATGGAGCAGGGATGAGGATGACTCCACTTATGCAGAGAAGACACAGCCAATCTGCTCTCTGTGCAGTTGGATGTATATGGACTAGCTGTCTGTTTGCACCTGACTGTCCTCTGATTTGATCCACCCAGACGGAGGGAACAAATCCCCTTCCATTTGGCTTCAGTGTATCGGATCTAGGTGGGTGTAAATGGACATGAGTCAGTTTACATCTGTGAGAGGGAGTATGAAAGGTTCAGTCGGGTCCTTCTGAAAAATGGACAGGTGTTTCTAGTCGGACCACTCATGTGATAGAAACCTTAGTTTGTAGGGATTTTTTTTTATCAATTACTTCCACCTGGTGATCCAGCCAGAAACACACTTCCTATCTTAAGGTAGCTCCTCTGTCTATGGAGGGCAAAACAGACACCCTTGGACAGTAGCACTGCCTGGAGAGTGTAGTGTTGTATAGATTAGTAGATAGGAGATAGAATAGTAGACTTTACAAAAGTGATTAACAAATTAAAGCTAGTTAAGCTTTAATTTGTTAATCACTTTTGTAAAGTCTACTAGAATGTAAAGTAAAACGCCAAAAAAAAAATTTCCCCTACAAAGACCTTAGAACGAAGCCCGCACTGTCACCACTGACAGAGATTCCATCTTCACCTGGTCTTTCATTTCACAGGCTCTGGCTGCTTGATTGGCCGAGCCACAATGACGTCACGTTGCATACGTGCAGAAGTCTCAGATGTGGCACAAAACTCTGATGGAATGGCACGGGTTCCTTCAGAGTGCATGTGCCAGTGACATCATTGGTTGCAGGCACACTGAATATCTCCTAAACGGTGCATGTTAAGGAGATATTCCTTGTACCTACGGATAAGCTTTATTATACGGATAAGCTTTATTATTACTTGTACCTGTAGGTACAAGTGTCCAGTGGGAGTTTACTTCCACTTTAAGCAGATATAGAAACAGTTTTTTCTTTCTGGCATAAAGGTTTAAACTAAGGGAATAACAGATGACCAATGTAAGCAGCTCTGTAGGTGTTAAAATGGAACCAAACCTTCCTGCTCTTTAGACCCAAGGAAGCTGCTACCTTTGCTCCTGCTTGATCTTCAGTTGCCATGGTGCAGCATATGGGATCAGTTATCACACCACCATACAGTATGACGGCTTGACAGTTCAGTTTACAGCAAGTAAATGTGAGTTATCATTCATGACATGCCTTGAATGTAATTTTGGGAAACAGTTAAATTTATGGGTTTACTTCTACTTTAAATTGCTTGTCTCAACCCTCCAACTGCCACGTTGCTGCACAGCTTGGATTGTTAAAGGAAGTTGAAAAATAACAGCAGGATCAACAGGCACAAAGTGAGAGGGGGGAGTCAGAAAAACAAAGACTGCTTTGTTAATGGCACTGACAGACTGCATCATACAGTGCTCAGCAGAGCTTAAATGAGTACACCCCAACAGATTTGTCAGAAAACCTTTATTTTCCTTTCAGAATCAACATTTTCTATGGGACACTATACTACAAAATACTCCCACAAATGTGGGCCATTGATTGCAAACAAGATTTGGTAATTTGCACACACAAAAAAGTATTTTCTTAACAAATTCATTCAAGACCATGCTGCAAAAATGAATACACCCCAATAAAAGTCTTAGAAGCAAAGCTAAATTTTAGACGACAAAATCCTAATTAACAAGAATTCAACTACAGGTGAGTCTAATTATTTATTAAACAGGTGTCCAGACCAGACAATTGATTATAAAAAGGCGTTATTTAACAAAGTAAACCACTTCCTATTTCATGCTGCTGAAAGAGGACCTAGGGCTGGGCCCACAGATTCAGAGGGTACATGATGCCACACAGACACAGACAGCGGTTCTTTTACAACAATTACGTTTACTGAACAGTTATAGTGAACAAGTAGTTGAGCATACATAAACGGAATGATAACAGCGCGTAACCATAGAGTAAGAATAATACTGTCTAACACTAACCCCGTACTTGCGGACTTTTCCCCAATGTCTGGCTGCGCCTGAATGTTCCTGAGCAAGATATAACGTTGGGGTGCACCCTAAGTATTGCGCAATACTATTTGGAATCCAAAGGAAAGTGGAGTGTGTCTCTTGTAGCTTTCTGGTATATCCAAAATGTCACTGAACACGTGTGGTGCGATGTGCTGCGGCAAAGCCGCACTTACAGTTCCTTGGCAGGCTCTTGGTGCTTTTTCCTGATCCACTGGTCCACTCCAGAACCGGACCTTACAGTCACTTGTTTCCCGGTCTCGTTGCGGTGAATCTTCCCTAGGTGCCGTCGCCAGACTCCACTGTGAGCCGTAAATCCTCTTCCAGGCTCCACACAGATTCTCCAGATGTCCTCAGCATACACCAGCCACACACAGAACCACTCTCACTTCCTGCTCTTCACTGGAACTCCTCCCCTTCCCAGAGAGTTTGTGATGCAGTAAGTAATTTCCTAATTGCAGCCTCAAACCTGCATTTACAGTTAACTATGACCCTTCTGAGGTTCCTACTCGGCCCCTAAATTAGCATTCATTAAACTTTATAAGGTAAATAAGGATTAGTTTTTGTCTTAGTAAACCTCAATGCAAAATCTATTCTTGTACTTTGCTGCCATCTACTGACCAGAGAGCATGTTGCAGTTTAACATTGCACATCAGTATTTATCCACACCCCACACCCTTACACTGCCAGCAATGGCACCACATGGAAGAGAAATGTCACAAGGCTTGAGAGAGAAAATAATTTCTATACACAAGAAAGATGAAGCCTACAAGAAGATCAACAACGCTTTACTTATACTGTTTAGAATATTGTAGCAAAAGTGATACAAAAATTTAGCAAAGATGGAACTGCAACCATCTCACACAGACGTCCATGCCATCCACGGAAGTTAACACCTTGACAAGAGTGCCTTCCGATGAGAAGGGATGAAGAAAATCACCATGCAAGTTCACTGCAGCTAAAGAAGTAGAAAGCCAAACTGGGGTGATTGTTTCCCTTGACACAATATGGCGTACACTGCAGAGGAATGGCATGCATGAGTGTTATCCTGCCTTCAGGAGGAATTAGACACTGGCAAAAAAAGCCATGACCAACCAAATATATTGCCTCCCAACCCCATGATTCTTTATTATTTATTATTAGGAGTAGACACTCCCTCAATGAACTCCAAGAAATCAATCTTACAGTAAGTATAAAAATCTTGTATTCTTTATTGTTCATTAAAACACAGGATCAGAAGTAAATCAGAGATAATTGTACATCCAAAAGCTGTCCAATGGAGTGGGGAGCAACACAGCAAACAAAAACATCCAGCGATGTGCATGAGCTTCTAGGTTTTATTGTCAAAGCTTGAAGAAGCTGAAGTTACAAGCTGATTGGCTACCATGCACAGCTGCACCAGATTCTGAGTGCGCCAGCTGTAGTAAATCTACCTTAGTATTACTTGTTTTGTTACATCTCCACTGCTGAATCTTATTGCTGCTCATGCCTCCCATCCTGTAGCACTACCATGCCTTTTGGCTGGGTGGGCTTGGCTATAGGAGCAATATGCTTTGACGAACAAAAGAAATTCAATGCGTATGACACTGTAGGGTAACGGCATAAGCATTGATCATATGGGAGCGAGCTAAGGTTGCCACCTCATCGCTTTAAAACCGAACACATATTATTCACACAAGTTCTGTGACTGATGAAGGTAGTAATTAAACTCACCTAGTGCCTTATCTGCATTAAATTAGCTTCAGAAACTGGGTAATTAATATGTGGTTGGTTTTAAAGGGATGAGGTGGCAGCCCTAGACTGAGCTATCTGTTCATGTCAATACCATTGCTTGACTGATGGCCAACTTTTTCTTTTGGTTGTAATTTTTCTATGAAACAGTGATTGTAATGTGAATACCCTCGGTAGCTCTCTCTTTGTAGTCTAATAACATGGCTCCCTCATGCTATGTTAGTAGTGATGGGTTTTTATATGGTTTTGTACTGAAAATACTTATAAATATAGATTATGCCAAAAAACAATAGTTCAACTCACAGGGCGGCCAACACATGGGGGGAAGAATGAGAACAGATTGGAAGGATGTACCTTCAGACACCAAACAGCCAATCAGCAAGTGTGGAGGGAATGATGGACAACATCCGGACCGCTGTCAGGAACCCATCAGCAGGCATCAGCATAGTATTTCCTGGACTCACAAGTTCTGGGCTTTACCTTGCTTACCAGCACTATTAGATATGATTGTGTGCCCACTGGTATGTACAGTTGTGTTCAAATGTTGCATACCCTGGCAGAAATCGTGAAATTTTGGCATTGATCTTGAAAATATGACTGTTCATGCCAAAAAAAAAAAAAAAACTTTTTTTTTTAAGGATAATGATCATATAAAGCCATTTATTATCAAATAGTTGTTTGGCTCCTTTTTAAATCATAATAACAGAAATCACCCAAATGGCCCAGATCAAAAGTGTCCATACGCTGTAATGTTTGGCCTTGGTACAGATGCACAAGGTGACACACACAGGTTAAAATGCCACTTAAAAGTTAATTTCCAACATCTGCGGCCCCTGCCCCCACCCGCCTACTCCTCTGTGATTTGACACAGTGGAAGTTTGTCAGCAGATCCCAGCCAATGATTCATGGTTGGGACCTGCTGATTGGCTGTGTC